TAAGTATCTGTCAACCAGTTATATAAGTATCTGTCAACCAGTTATATAAGTATCTGTCAACCAGTTATATAAGCAACTGTCAACCATTTATAGAAGTATCTGTCAACCAGTTATATAAGTATTTGTCAACCAGTTAAATAAGTATCTGTCAACCAGTTATATAAGCAACTGTCAACCATTTATATAAGCAACTGTCAACCAGTTATATAAGCAACTGTCAACCAGTTATATAAGCATCTGTCAACCAGTTATATAAGCAACTGTCAACCAGTTATATAAGCAACTGTCAACCAGTTATATAAGCAACTGTCAACCAGTTATATAAGCATCTGTCAACCAGTTATATAAGCAACTGTCAACCAGTTATATAAGCATCTGTCAACCAGTTATATAAGCAACTGTCAACCAGTTATATAAGCAACTGTCAACCAGTTATATAAGCAACTGTCAACCAGTTATATCTCTCAGTTTTATAAGGTTTGGTCAACCAGCTGTATAAGCTTCTGTCAACCAGTTATTTAATCAACATAAGCAACTGTCAACCAGTTATATAAGTATCTGTCAACCAGTTATATAAGCAACTGTCAACCAGTTATATAAGCATCTGTCAACCAGTTATGTAAGCATCTGTCAACCAGTTATATAAGCATCTGTCAACCAGTTATATAAGCAACTGTCAACCAGTTATATAAGTATCTGTCAACCAGTTATATAAGTATCTGTCAACCAGTTATATAAGTATCTGTCAACCAGTTATATAAGCAACTGTCAACCATTTATAGAAGTATCTGTCAACCAGTTATATAAGTATTTGTCAACCAGTTAAATAAGTATCTGTAAACCAGTTATATAAGCAACTGTCAACCATTTATATAAGCAACTGTCAACCAGTTATATAAGCAACTGTCAACCAGTTATATAAGCATCTGTCAACCAGTTATATAAGCATCTGTCAACCAGTTATATAAGCAACTGTCAACCAGTTATATAAGCAACTGTCAACCAGTTATATAAGCATCTGTCAACCAGTTATATAAGCAACTGCCAACCAGTTATATAAGCATCTGTCAACCAGTTATATAAGCAACTGTCAACCAGTTATATAAGCAACTGTCAACCAGTTATATAAGCAACTGTCAACCAGTTATATAAGTATCTGTCAACCAGTTACATAAGCATCTGTCAACCAGTTATATAAGCAACTGTCAACCAGTTATATAAGCATCTGTCAACCAGTTACATAAGCATCTGTCAACTAGCTGTAGAAATATCTGTCAACATATTTTACAACTATGGTGACTAGTTTTACAACTATCTTCAAATGACATATCCACTTACTGCTAGCCATCTTTACAACCCTCTGAACTTGAGTCACAACCATCTGTCAACCAGGTTTACAAGCATTGGTTAACTGGTTTAGAACCACACATCAACTAGCTTCACAAATATCTATAAACCAACCCCACAACTATCTGTAATTCTGTCTCAGAACCACACTGAAACCGGGCACATAACACTTATAAAACATTCTGATAGTACCATGTCAAGTTTCACAACCACTCAACAATCAGTTTCACAACCACTCAAAAATCAGTTTCACAACCACCAAACAATCAGTTTCACAACCTCCGGTAAAACAACTCCACAATACTATCTAAAACAAATTCTCAACTATGAGTCTTCTTCTTCGCGGTCACTGGCTGTAAACTCCAGCGAAAAGTTCTGGTTATTCATCTGCCTCTGGAATTCAGTCTTGTTTTGCGTGCACATCTGTTTTACAGATCTGACTTATTAGTAAGCCGCTTGTTGGTTCCTTGCCTCTCAGTCATATGTACTCTGACTTTGAAGGATGCCCTTAATCAGCTGACTCCTAACTCCTGTTTTCAGAGCCATACGAGAAAAATAGTCCAATGAGTATTTGACATAATACTGTGATCCTGGTGTTATGAGCCAGAGCATTTGATTGCAGCAGATGTTTTAGGGAATGCTTTCCCATACCAGCTGCATATGTGGCCCACCTAGCCCATGAGTAAACTTGTCAACCAACACTGGGCTGGCTCATGTAGTATCTAGTCCCTGCATGGTAATGGATTCATTCCGGAAGAAATCACAGCCCCGATGGAGATATCTGGGGGTGTCTTGATGACAGCGCAAGCTGAGTAGAACTCCACAGTGACAAACTTCAAGCATTAGGTGAAGCAAGCTTCCCTTAACACAGTCACCCATCTGAAAAATGTATAAACAAAAAGTCAAATGACTCACTTGGGAACAAAAGCACACAGGAAATGTGAATAGGTAGCTTGAGACATTGAACAATAAAAACTGGGTTGAGCATCTAGTAGTAAAGTCAAAGTCAAGGACCATTTTCCATGCCTTCAGCATATCGGGCATATAGGGCACAACCTATGGCTCTTGATGGCTGATGTAGGTCAACATCACACCGGCTGCCTTCATTTATCAGGTATGTTATTACCTGGTACCCACTTCTGGTTGGGCTGACTTGCAAGTTAAGGTACATTTTGAAGAACAAATCTAATAAATAAACTGGCCATGATGTAAATGTGAACTTAGCTAGACCCTTGGGCTGTCAGGGGCTGATCCTTACATGGAAAACCCCCCCCCCCCCCCCCCCCCCCTTTTCCCCTCCCGTTCCCGCAGAAAGAATGGGAGAGTGGACACAATCTAACTCATATGTTGACAATCAGAGTAGATGTTGCACTCTAAGCTGTCAGCAGCTCATATCCCATTCATGACCTGATTTATTATCATAACCAGAAACATGGTCCTGCTGTGCTAATATGTCACGCAGAGCTCCAGTCCCCTGTATCCTGTGCAATCCTTGGTTGGAATCAAGCATTTGTTAGCCTCTCTCATCAAATGTTTATTTCATAATTCCACGATAAATCATCATCATCATCATCATGTGCCCTGCCAACTGGCGTAGGCACTCATGCATCTCCACAGATCATGATCCATGGTTGCCTGGGGCAGCTCTCTTGATGATATCCTTCAATGCCTTCGTTTCAGCCCATCCAGCATCATCTCTCTTGGTCTACCTCTACCCATTTTCCCACTGATATTTCCAGTTGTCACGATTTTCTCCAATGTCTCTCTTCTCATTATGTGGCCAAAGAACAGTGTTTGACTCTTTCTTATTGTTGTATTTAGAGATCTTCTTTCAAGCAATCGTTGTTAGTTACTCTGGCCGTCCAAGGTATTTGTAACATTCGTCTCAGAAACCACATCTCTGCTGCTTCCAAATTCTTCCTAATTTGTTCACTGACATTCCAAGATTTGCCATACATCAGAACAGGTTCTATGTAACATTTTAGCACCCTCTTTCTGACATTAAATGAGAGCAATTTATTGCATAAGATATTGTTCATTTTTTTAAATGCAGCTTTTGCTTGACCTATTCTGCTTTTAATCTCTGTCAGATTTTTTCCATCTGATGATATGATTGTTCCTAGATATTTTTCTTTTTGTTCTTCTCATAATAATTCTAAGTAGTACGATAAATAGGCATAAATATTTCCCATAACTAATTTTTTTTCCATCAATAAATCATTATGTTATGTGTCATCAATAAATGTTTGATCATTCTTTGCCAACAACACTACGTACTTCTCTGTGGATGCAGCGCTGTCTGTGCGGAAGATAAGTCTCTGGGTCATCCTGTCTCTGGGAGGCATGGCACGAATCAAGAGTCTGCCCTTTTGTGTGGTCAGTGGCTGGTTGTTCTGATGGCTTATCTCAAACATCAGGTCAGGCTGGTGTCCTTCAAACCACTGAAAAGATCAGTCAGACAATAGAACAGGTTCAAGTACAGTACTGCTACAGTAGATAGATGTGACTGCCATGCAAAGTACTAGGCCTTCAAATATTATGACCTCCTGCTTGGGATCTGGGGCTGAACTGGGGAAGTGAAGAGGGACCTGTGTGGGAGTGGGTTAGACCCTCTGTTTGCTAATAAGCACGGCATATAAGACAATTCATTAGGAGTCTGCTCAAAACTAATGCGCTGGGGAAAGAAAGGCACAGATATCACACAACAGCTGTCAGCCACAAGACAACATGCCAACTGTTTTTTGAGGGTGAACTTTGAAGAAGAAATGTTCTAATTAAAGACAAGGGGGCAGGGAGGTCGGCTGAAAGAGAAAAGTCAACTCCAGGGCAGCACTGGTTGGAAATAATTCTACTTCTGGGGAACGTGAAGAAGACAAAAACAGAAGGTGACTAATCAGGAGTATACTAAAACTGCAAGTGATGGGACTGAGAGGTGCAGAGATGGCACCCTAGGTGTAATACAGTACAAGCTACTGTGCCAATCATGTCTTTAAGGCTGAATACAGAGGAATAAGTTCAATACACACAGAGATATGGTGGTCAGGTCCTTCCCTTGTCCCCCCCCCCCCCTTTTCACCCCAAAAATTCCAAGAGAACAGTCTGGCACTAAATGTTTCTTAAATGAGACTAGGTCAGCCTTAGAGCTGCTGTGGTTGGAAATAATCCTGTCCCAGCTGGAGCACGGTGTCTGTAGGTAAAATTATCGTTCCGCCACTGGACGCCCAAGTGAAGATATAGGCATGCTGCAATTACTAGACTTTTAATATTATGTTATCACAGTCAATGTCACTGCACACTGGACATATCCATTCGCTCAGTCCTCCCATGCAGCAGCCACTTCAAGCTACCTCAACTGATTGCTCCCATGAGAAGTTAGTTACAATATCTCCTATCCTGACTGACCTCAAAGATGCCACTGACGTGCTTCATCGGGTTTCACCTTGAGGTCATGCAATCACGTTAGTGTCAGAGACCTGTCCTTACCTGTCAGCCTTACTTTAAAAAGTGATTTGCACTCTCCGGCTGACCCAGCCTGAAATGTGTAAGTACAAAGAAAATGTCCTTGGATAATCAGATGGAGAAGGATGAGGAAGAAGAGGAGAACAAGGAGGTGAAGAAGATCTCTTTTCATCAGCAGTGGCATCAATACTTACAGTATGTAACCGGGACACCTCGAACCCAAGCAAGGGCATACTTTCAACAGCAGCCATGTCCTGAGACAATCAATAAAATACACAAAGTCATGAGATAATAATACACACAAAGTCTTAAGATAATAAAATACACAGTCATAAGACAATAAAATACTCAAAATCACGTGACAATAATACACACAAAGTCTTAAGACAATAAAATACACAATCATAAGACAATAAAATATACAAAGTCAAAAGAAATACACAGAGTCATGAGAAATACACAAAGTCATAAGATAATAATACACTCAGTCATGAGAAATTCACAAAGTCATAGGACAATAAAATACACAAAGTCATGAGAAATACACAAAGTCGTGAGACAATAATAAAATACACAGTCATAAGATAATACAATACAAAAATAGAACTTTCCGCTGAAGCCTACAGTGGGTAAATGCGAAGAAGAAGAAGATACATTAGTGGTGCTCTAGGCATATGATGCTAAACTCATAATTTTACAGACCAACTGGCATTCACTGGGTGATGAGGCCAACTTCACACTGGCCACTTTACTTCCTAGGACTTTACCTTTTCCCCATTTTAGGCGGGGGGATCTGGAAGCCGAGGTCAATGTTGAAAACAAAAAAAATCCAATGTGAATTTGAACCCCAGATCTTCGGGCTGGCAGGTGAGCATGTAGCCCCTCCGCCATCATGGCTCCATATTACTATTAGTTAACTATATCTGATAGTCAACTGACACTGAAAAATGGCATGATAATATTAGGTGACACTACTGTTTGGTGACAAAGTTAAAACTTCTATTAGGTCACAATATAAGTACAAGTTTAAACCAAAAATGTACATACAGTTATAAACACATTTTCCTATTTGGATTCTAGGGTTTCATGTAAGGGAAGAGGTGCAATAGATCGAATAACTTCCAACAAGCATGTCCTAAAAGGCAAATAATAAGCAGTCTGCTGAAATCGGACATACTGGGTCAAATGGTGCAGATACTGCAGCCTGGCTGTGAACCTCAAAACAACATGCCAATTGCCCTTTTGAGAATGAACACACAAGAAGAAGAAAACACACCTCCTACACATAACTATACCCTACAAATTATTCCAGACCATACACAAAACACACAACACAAACCTCGCTAGCTTTGTATGTGTAGAGTACTTTCCCTTTGACCACAAACCAGAGTCGCTTCCACTTGCGTGATCTGTAGGTATGTAGATATCCACACATGTCGGAGCCTTCATCATTAGCATGCACCTGGGATTTATTATTGAAAGACAAGTTTACATCCAGCTGAACAGCAATTTCTTTTTCTTTCTTCTCTGTCTTCACCCTTAAAGAACAGTTTCAGACACTGTGTAGTGGTTTACAGCTAGGCTGCAATATCTGCACCTTTCAGTCCAACACATCCAATTTCAGCAAACTCCTGATTAGCTGCTTTTTAGGACATGCTTGTCAGGAGGTAGGGGGTCTATTCTTTTTCCACTACAAAATGAGGCCCCAAAACCCACACGGGTACAACAATGACTGAAATATAATTGTAAATGCCAGAAAATTTATGAGATTATAGTCTTAGCATATAGGTGATTTCTCTCACTGAAGTACTATGTTTCTGGGCACTAGGTAGTGAACAGGCCTTGAGAAAGAAAATAGGGACATTTTAATTTAAAGGTTGTAGAAAGATTCTCAGAATAAAATGGACAAAGAAGAAAGGAAATACTGACATCCTAAAAGATCTGAACATCAAGGAAGATTGGCTGGTAAACAGCATCTTGTCTCGGAAAGTGAAATATACTGGCTACATCAAGTATCACGGCAGACTAGAAAAATAACAGCAGATGGTATGGTACCAGGAAAGTTAAAGTCAAAAGGATTGGCTTCATTGCACCGGGTTTTATCCCATATGGCTCAGTCTCTCTCCTCAGAACGGTTAGCTGCTTGCCCAGAGTGTCGCACAAAGTGCGAACTCTGTAGCTCCGATGATGATCCCCCCGGATCTCAGTAAAAATTGGCACTCTTGAACTGAACGGCACTGCCATGAGATGAACTAGCTGACCTTCACAGAGAGAGGCAAACGGCTTGACCACTTGCCAGGGAGATTCCCAGTACCAGTAAAGAAGGGATATAAATGACACCTTGAAAAGAGGAAAGTGCACGAGGTGAGAGAGCTAGCAAGAAGCCGAGTATCTTTCAGGCAGGCTGTGCAGAGAGTGACGTTCTGCGAAGGACCTGTTGCATGATGATGAGAGTGAAGAGACAGTGTCAGAGAGGCCATTTCCCCACTATTTGGGCAAAGACATATGATAATAGCCTTATATTGTTATAGGCTGACTGGAAAACATTTGGTGGGCTACATCATGCCGGTCACCTTAATAGAGCACCATGATAAATGTGTCATGATATATGAGTGTTTTAATGTTATATCACAGTGCTATGTATGAGACACACGCAAGTGTTCAGATAAGACAAATCACAGTGCTATCTATGGGACACATGAAAGTGTTTAGATGATGATATATCAAAGTGCTTGTACTGGGCACATGAAAGTGTTTAGATGATGACATATCAAAGTGCTTGTATGGGGCATTTCAAAGTGTTTAAATGAAGGATAGCATCTAGCTAATGAAGTAAAAATAGACCATTTCATCCACTGTGACAAACCTGCTGACAACAACAAACTTGTATGCTGTGAGACTGCTGGAGAATCACAGGGACTCATGATGATGATGGAGAATCAGTACTCACATTTTCTGATTTTCTGTGTGGCTACCAGGGCCCATTTGAAAAAAAAAGGGATTGGGGGGGGGGGGGGGGGAGGGGAGACCACTGATCTGCTCACAAACATGTCATAGAAGCTGACTAACTGGGGGTGTTTCCTTTGAAGTTGAAGTGCATTTGCCTGAGAGGCGTGGAGCCATCAGTCTGCATACAAATAGGCCAGATCTGTAAAATGTATGTGCATGTAAAACTCAAGTGCTGGAAAAAGGATCAAAGTCCAGAAGTGGATGAACAACAACTAGAACTTTTGGCTGGAGTTTAAGGGTAGTGACCGCGAAGAAGAAAAGTCTATTCTTTTGACTATAAACTATACAGAGATGACACTCAAGGATGCTGATGCCCCAATTATAAATAAAAGGGTTTGAATGAGATTAAACATTTCTGCTTCGTATTAAACAAGTCATCTGGGTAAAAATTCGACACCGCAGCATTCAGGACAAGCCCATATTCGCTTGGTCTTCTTCCTCAAAAGACAGTAAATAGTTTCCATACTTAAAGTACTATTTGTCAACTGGTTAACTACTTGTCTTGCCTTTCCCCAGAGTCTTGAGTGGCAACCAGAGCCTGCAGACACTCCTCGCTACATCATTCTCTCCCTTTATGTGTTTTCAGTATCTTCCATTTTATTTGTTACCTTGTCCCACAGGTGAGAGATCACTGCTGCTATGTGCTATAAAAAAAAATCTTCTAAAATAGAACAATGATGTCTTCTTCTTCGTGTTCACCAGCTGCAACCTCTAGGAAGTTCTGGCTGTTTGTTTATCTCAAGGCTTTAGTTTTGTTTTGGAACATGCATGTTGCGTGCACATCCATTTTACAGATCTCATTATTTTGTAAGCAGACTGTTGGTTCCTTACCTTTCAGGCAGATGCAGTCCAAATTAGTTGACTCTAACAACATGCTTGTTGGGGTGGTAGTGGGTCTATTCTTGGTGTCCCCACAATGGGGCCCCAGAATTTGCACGGGGAGTACAATGATCGAACAAAAGATGTTGTTCAAGTAAGACAATTACAAACATTTGACTGTTTTATGGAGCTGGAACAAATATGCATTCAGTATGATGAACTGACCTCCTTAAGAACTGAAGGTATGAAACTGTTTGGTTTCCGTCGCTCGTGGTTACTGTTTCTTAGCTTCTGGAACCGGTCCATAATTGCATGCAGGCTGAGACCAGAGTCATGCTTCATCCCAACAAAATCTCTGCCTTCTCTAATGATTGCTGCAGGAGTGCTTGTAGCTGGTCCTTCAGAAAGTATTGATGGGGAATCTTTCTCCAGGTGCAACATTACATGTCTGTTCCTCCTACTTCGTTCAAGTTCACTGGCCATTGCTATATAATATGTGTGAAAAATAAAATAATTTCTTGTAATAATGCAAAGTTTAATCTTTCAGTGGAGGTCTGTCCACATTGTAACATTTATATAGAACAGTTGAATTCTGGAAGTATTAAGTAATACTATCTGTCTCCCTGTCCTCCTCATCCTCCACCCACCTACACACCCTATTGACATTTTGCGTTTTGCAACTCTCAGATAACCTCATATTACAGTGAGATTTCACTGACACAGTGAGACTTCAGTGATTTGTTCTGCACAGCCCTGGTGTCTATCACTTGGGAACCATAGCTCTATCTAGTTCACTGACCATGCTACAAGCAGTCAAGATATGACTGCAAGCATCTCCTAACTCTATCTCTGGTCCCACGCCAGTGTTTCAGACACTCATAGAAAATAGATTTAACTGTTTCAAACTGATGACCTCAAAAAAAAAAAAAAAAAAAAATTGCCAAGATTCCCTGATCCTGTAATTTCCAAATTTTGGGAATTCCTGAAAAACAAATTCTTTGGGGAAAAACCCCCTATACATGTTAACATAAAAATAGTTTTAAAAAAAAAAAAGGAAGAAAGAAGAATTTGAAAAATTTATTTACAGATTCTAAAATCACCACAGAAATGAAAGGGCAATCCATAAAAACGAATGCAGCACAGAACAACTGGCTCTCATCTCTTGGAGCCTTCAAAATAAATAAACACTGTCATAATTTTTTTTTTTCAAGTATCCAGAAACCATGAGTTGTTAACCGTTTGGCTCGGTACTATGGATGTTGCAACCCTTTGGCCTTGATTCCATGACAGATACCATAAATCTGGGAGAAATGTGGCTTTACTGCCTACCCCCCAGCTTGAACCCGGACCACAAGAAGTTCATCACCCAGTTGCCGCGAAATCAGGTTTAACCAGCTACGCTAGTGAACCGGGCTGACTCCATGACTCAGTAACCTTACGGATAATCCGTGAAAATTTGAAGTCAGAATTTCTACAAATGCAGCCATCTTTCACACGTTAACACCTCTAAATGCTATATGTAGTAAATATATACAATTCCCTATTCTACAATAAATTTGCGTGGGTGCAATCGGAATGAATTCTATTAGCTATGCTTCTCATAAACAGCCCACTACAGCGAGCCGGGAACAAGGTTTTTACAGAGAACAGAGCCAATCAGACGCCAGGGGGTGGGGCTTCTCTAGGTGACAAGATGAAACCAACCAATGATTGTGTCTGAACAGGCAACCAATGCCAAATGAAGCCAAGACAAATCTGATCAAACATGCTCACCAGCTTTGAGCTTCTCAAAGCAGCTGTCACAAACTCTGGCAGGTTCCAACGCCAGATACCGCAGAGGGGCTTTGTTTTGTGAGCAGTGGCAGCACACAACCTGCAGACAAGAGCAGGAAATAAATTATAACTGGACTCTGTCACTGTCCGCTACCTAGACTGTGGCGGTAAATAATTTATAACTGGACTCTGTCACTGTCCTCTACCTAGACTGTGGCGGTAAGTCATTTATAACCAGAGTCTGTCAGTGTCCGCTACCTAGAGTGTGGCGGTAAATAATTTATAACTGGACTCTGTCACTGTCCTCTACCCAGAGAGTGGTGGTAAATAATTTATAACTGGACTCTGTCACTGTCCACTACCTAGACTGTGGCAGTAAATAATTTATAACTGGACTCTGTCACTGTCCGCTACCTAGACTGTGGTTGTAATAATTTCTGCTGCCATACTTTCAATAGAGAGTGAGCAAGGACCATTTTCAAACTACTGTCGCATAAATAAATTATGCTAGACCTGGCATGCCGACATAAAGAAAACAAAATATGTGCTAAAAAAAAAAAAAAAGGGGGGGGGGGGGGGGAGGGGTTTAAGGAGCATAATCCCAGTTTGAGAGTATAATAATAATGAGCTGAATGGCAAATAAATAGACTAATATATTTGAAATTCTGTGGAATTTATTTAAAGAGAATATCTATACACAGTTAAAGAGGCTGTTTAGTCTCAGACATTTATAAAAAATTATAAGGGGTGGGGGGGGGGGGGGGGGGGGGGTTGTGTTGCTGATCGTGAGTTCCCCTGTCCATTCTCAAACAAATGTAAGGGGGGGGGGGGAATAATGGGGCATTCAAGGGATCTGAACCCTCAGGTTCTAGTACCTATGTGTTAGACTCATATTTTTATGGAATAATCAGCCCTCAATAAGTACTGGGGTCAATACCATACCACCCACCTTGACTTCCCAGGACCTTTCAATCATCCAGCCACGGCACTAACACAAAGCCCATTCTTCCACACAAAGTCATGGAAAACATAAACTCACCTGACCACAGGACCGACAGTGATGTCTTCTCAAGGTCAAGGTAAACTCCAGCAGACACAGCATGCACATGGTGACCCTTGCATCAGGCACCCACACTGGAGCCTTGTCTCCCAGGATAAAGTCCTTGTCCTGAAGGGACATCTGAAAACACAAGCAACAATTCTATAACAGTGACATCTGAAAACACAAGCAACAATTCTATAACAGTGACATCTGAAAACACAAGCAACAATTCTATAACAGTGACATCTGAAATCACAAGCAACAACTCTATAACAGTGACATCTGAAAACACAAGCAACAACTCTATAACAGTAACATCTGAAAACACAAGCAACAATTCTATAACAGTGACATCTGAAAACACAAGCAACAACTCTATAACGGTGACATCTGAAAACACAAGGAACAACTCTATAACGGCGACATCTGAAAACACAATGAACAACTCTATAACAGTGACATCTGAAAACACAATCAACAACTCTATAACAGCGACATCTGAAAACACAAGCAACAACTCTATAACAGTGACATCTGAAAACACAAGCAACAAGTCGATAACAGTGACATCTGAAAACACAAGCAACAAGTCTATAACAGTGACATCTGAAAACACAAGCAACAACTCTATAACAGTGACATCTGAAAACACAAGCAACAACTCTATAACAGAGACATCTGAAAACATAAGCAACAACTCTATTACAGTGACATCTGAAAACACAAGCAACAACTCTGTTACAGCGACATCTAAAAACACAAGCAACAACTCTATAACAGCAACATCTGAAAACACAAGCAACAACTCTATAACAGCAAAATCTGAAAACATAAGCAATGACTCTATAACAGTGACATCTGAAAACACAAGCAACAACTCTATAACAGCAAAATCTGAAAACTCAAGCAACAACTCTTTAACAGCGACATCTGAAAACATAAGCAATGACTCTATAACAGACACATCTGAAAACACAAGCAACAACTCCATAACAGCATCTGTTAGTATCAGCAGTATTAAATTCATGAATTTTGATCTTTGGTAAAGACATTATACTTGGCAAAGACATACAGTCTTATGCGTCCACTTTCTAATTACTCCCACTTGGTATACGTCCAGTTCAGATGCAAACAAATTTTGTTTGGTATACAACCTTTGTTTGGTATACAACCTTTGTTTGGAATAGGACTAGTGTGCTAAAACCTGTGAGCCTCAACCAGGTTAAAAAAGGAAAAGAAAAAAAAAAAAACACTCACTCACACACCAGAATTTCAGATTCCTCAAGTTTTAATGGCAACGGACTCTCCTTTCAATCAAAAACATCTCCTCCTACTCCCTTTGGGGGTCGCCGTGGCCAAGCGGCTAGACGCTCGCTGCGGATCGGAAGGTCGTGGGTTCGCTCCCTGGCGGAGCTTGACTTTTTTCAAAAATGACCTTGGCTCCCATGTCAACCCAGCCTTGAGTGGGTACCGGGTGCAGTCCTGGGAAAGTAAAGGCGGCCGGCGTGATGCTGACACATCACCCATCATGTGTTGATTGGTCTGTAAAAATATAGGTCTAGCCCTATATGCCCTATACGCCTGAAGGCGTGGAAAAGGGTCCTGTACTTTACTTTTACCTACTCCCTTCTCACCATCCTAGTAAACACTTGACTCTTCTAATCAAAGGAATGAGAGGTTGCATTTTCATGAATTTCATCTAAATTCTTTTGTATTGTATTTATTTGTTTTAGCATTAAGCAGTGTTTACATTATTTTATACAACCCAATTTTGTATACAAACCAATTATTGTATACAACCCAATTATTGTATACAAACCAATTACTGTATACAACACAATTATTGTATACAACACAATTATTGTATACAACACAATTACTGTATACAACACAATTATTGTATACAACACAATTACTGTATACAACACAATTACTATACACAACACAATTACTGTATACAAACCAATTACTGTATACAACCCAATTACTGTATACAACCCTATTATTGTATACAAACCAATTATTGTATACAAACCAATTATTGTATACAAACCAATTACTGTATACAACCCAATTATTGTATACAACCCAATTACTGTATACAAATTAATTATTGTATACAACCCAATTATTGTATACAAACCAATTATTGTATACAAACCAATTATTGGATACAACCCAATTATTGGATACAACCCAATTATTGTATACAACCCAATTATTGTATACAACCCAATTATTGTATACAACCCAATTATTGTATACAACCCAATTATTGTATACAACCCAATTACTGTATACAACCCAATTATTGTATACAACCCAATTATTGTATACAACCCAATTACTGTATACAAACCAATTATTGTATACAAACCAATTATTGTATACAACCCAATTATTGTATACAACCCAATTATTGTATACAACCCAATTATTGTATACAACCCAATTATTGTATACAACCCAATTACTGTATACAACCCAATTACTGTATACAACACAATTATTGTATACAACTCAATTATTGTATACAACCTAATTATTGTATACAACCTAATTATTGTATACAACCTAATTACTGTATACAACTCAATTATTGTATACAACTCAATTATTGTATTCAACCTAATTACTGTATACAACCTAATTATTGTATACAACCTAATTACTGTATACAACTCAATTATTGTATACAACCTAATTATTGTATACAACCTAATTACTGTATACAACTCAATTATTGTATACAACCTAATTATTGTATACAACCCAATTATTGTATACAACCCGTTCAATGTTTAATATGTCAATAACAATAGCATTTCTTTAATGGGACAGGTTTAATCAATCTCTATCTATTTTCTTATCTGTTATACATCCTGTTTGATATAAGTACAAGGACCTGGATGGATTAAGGACATATCAAGGTATAAATGTATTTAGTGGGAATATAGGGCTAGACCTATATTTTTATAGACCAATCAGCACTTGGTGGGCGATATGGCCGCCTTTACTTCCCAGCACTGCACCTGGTCCCCACTTAAGGTGGGGTCAACCTAGAAGTCAAGGTTATTTTTGAAAAAAACAAGTCTGGCTCTGAACACGAACACACGACCTTTCGATCCACAGGCAGCATCTAGCTGCTATAAATAAACAGTCCCCAAACAGATAGTGCCAGTCACAACCTAAATAAAAGTTCAAAATGCTTTTCCTCTGCAGCAAAACCATCATCCAGACCCTCCAGACTGCTGACTCCCAGCTGAACTATTCTCTCCAGGTATGAATGCTCTATATGCAGCCCTGACCATGTCTACCTCAACCCTCACTGTCCATCTTATCATTAAGTAGCTCACTGCCCAGAGGGGTTGCAGCAGTTAATCTATAACCCTGTTTATTGCCACACAACACACGTGAATGCCATATGCAGAAAATACATGATATGCTTTTTTACCTGACTCTTTTCACATGATGCAAGCCACCAGTTTTTATTTTCCAGAACATGCTCTGCGAGTCCGTCATAGCTATAACATGTCAGGCAACACAACTCTCCAGCGGCCGGAAAGCTGCCATGATCGCTTCCACCTCTATTCTCATGCTAGATGTTGTGAGGTTATACATGCAGCGTTCTTTATTTGTTTGAGAAACCAATTTTCATTTTCTTTTGCCATCATGCAGATGTTTTGTAAAACATCTTCGATGCTTCAAAAAGATAGCATTTGATATTACAGATAGTATATATTACAGATAGTCTCTATATTACAGATATTCTCTATGTTACAGATAGTCTCTATATTACAGATAGTTTATATTACAGATAGTCTCTATATTACAGATAGTCTCTATATAACAGATAGTCTCTATATTATAGATAGTCTCTATATTACAGATAGACTCTATATTACAAATAGTCTCTATATTACAGATAGTCTCTAAATTACGGATAGTCTCTATATTACAGATAGTCTCTATATTAAAGATAGTCTCTATATTACAGATAGTCTAGTCTCTAAATAACAGATAGTCTCTAAATTACATATAGTCTCTATATTACAGATAGTCTCTATATTACAGATAGTCTCTATATTACAGATAGTCTTGTCTTTATATTACAGATAGTCTCTAAATTACAGACAGCCTCTATATTACAGATAGTCTCTATATTACAGATAGCCTCTATATTACAGATAGTCTCTATATTAAAGTCTCTACATCGCATATAGTATCCCTACTGTGTATATTAAGGATACTCCTGGGCACTGCTGACAGTCCCCCAGATGTCCCCTTACCTACCTGTAGCCCTTGCTTGACAGCTACAAATGTGTGATGCTTTTTGGCATTCTCTTCAATGGCAGTTTCCATTGCTGAAACCCATTGTGCTTTCTCTTCAAATGAACTGAAAAATGAAAAATGACTTTATTTATATAAATGTGGCCCTGTGGCATAGAGGCTAGTGAATGTATTTAACAATTTCACGATTAACGAGCAATAGGTTTCAATTTCTGCAGCAGATGGTTTATTTATGTTCTCTTTGAAAAAAAAAGACTTGTTTTTAGACTTTAGTATGAGAGTCACACCAAGGAAGAGAGTAGGGCCTCACCATGCAATATTTGCAAAGACAGCAGTGAGTACACTGTAACCAATCTTGGTGCACATACACAGGCATGCAGCGTGCATATGCAAGCACACACACACATATTTTTTTGTATCTTGGATACATGTATGTATATATATGTGCGCACAACACAGGAGGTAGACATCTAGCACACTGAAGGTAGACACCTAGCCCACTGGAGGTGGACACCTAGCACACTGAAAGTAGACATCTGGCACACTGGAGGTAGACACCTAGCCCACTGGAGGTGGACACCTAGCACACTAAATGTAGACATCTGACACACAGGAGGTAGACACTGGGCACACAGGAAGAAGACACCTAGCACACAGGATGTAGACACCTAGCACACAGGAGGTAAACACCTAGCACACAGGAGGTAGACACCTAGCACACAGGAGGTAGACACCTAACACACAGGAGGTAGACACCTAGCATACACATGAGGTAGTCACCTAGCACACAGGAGGTAGACACCTAGCACACAGGAAGTAGACACCTAGCACACAGGAGGTAGACACCTAGCACACAGGAGGCAGACACCTAGCACACAGGAAGTAGACATCTGGCACACAGGAGGTAGACACCTAGCACACAGGGGGTAGACACCTAGCACACAGGAGGTAGACACTAGCACACAGGAGGTAGACACCTAGCATACACATGAGGTAGACACCTAGCATACACAGGAGGTAGTTACCTAGCACACAGGAAGTAGACGCCTAGCACACAGGAGGTAGACACCTAGCACACATGAGGTAGATACCTAGCATACACAGGAGGTAGTCACCTAGCACACAGGAAGTAGACACCTAGCACACAGGAGGCAGACACCTAGCACACAGGAAGTAGACACCTAGCACACAGGAGGTAGACACCTAGCACACTGGAGGTAGACATCTAGCACACAGGAGGTAGACACCTAGCACACAGGAGGTAGACATCTGACACACAGGAGGTAGACACTGGGCACGCAGGAGGTAGACACCTAGCACACAGGAAGTAGACACCTAGCACACAGGAGGTAGACACCTAGCACACAGGAGGTAGACACCTAGCACACAGGAAGTAGACACCTAGCATACACATGAGGTAGACACCTAGCATACAGGAAGAAGACGCCTAGCACACAGGAGGTAGAGAACTAGCACACAGGAGGCAGACACCTAGCACACAGGAGGTAGACACCTAGCACACAGGAGGTAGACACCTAGCACACAGGAAGTAGACACCTAGCACACAGGAGGTAGACACCTAGCACACAGGAGGTAGACACCTAGCACACAGGAAGTAGACACCTAGCATACACATGAGGTAGACACCTAGCATACAGGAAGAAGACGCCTAGCACAAAGGAGGTAGAGAACTAGCACACAGGAGGCAGACACCTAGCACACAGGAGGTAGACATCTAGCACACAGGAGGTAGACATCTAGCACACAGGAGGTAGACACTTAGCACACAGGAGGTAGACATCTAGCACACAGGAGATAGACACCTAGCCCACAGGAGGTAGACATCTAGCACACAGGAGGTAGACATCTAGCACACAGGAGATAGACACCTAGCACACAGGAGTTAGACATCTAGCACACAGGAGGTAGACACACATAGCATACACAGGGGGGAGACACCTAGCACACAGGAGGTAGACATCTAGCACACAGGAGGTAGACACCTAGCTCGCATGAAGTACCCCTAGCACACATAAAGTACTCACCTAGCACAGAGAGTAAAAGAGCGTTGGACACTGATAATGTTGAATTCAAACTTGTAATGTTCCAAGTTTGGAGAGTTAATCTGTGGCAGAAGAAAAAAGACAGGTTACTGAATATAACAATGGACACAGATTGACAGTCTGCTGTTTGTTAATTATCAACAAAATGTTTATAGATACCAAAAATAATTCTAACAATCATAATGACAACATTTTTTAAAGATTTTTTTCATAATCACAATCTTATTTATAATTGGAGTTATTTCCTAGTAAAGGGAGTTCTGTTTTTAAGACAGGAAGCCCAGATTAAAAAAACAAAAAAACTGTACTGATAGGGATCAAACCTGTGACTACAATGCTAGCAGGCAAGTAACCATATTACTGCATCTTCCTCTAAGCTAGCTGTAGATACAACAGCAGTGAAAGAGATACAAAGTCAATAATAACCCTAATAACAACAAATAGTATGTATGGAAACATGATTTCACAAGAAACTAAATGGACTCTAGTTGTGATTAAGCAGTAAGACTATCTTACCTTCATGCCAGTGAGAGACAAAATGTTGTTGATCTTGTATCCTATGCTTGTGGGAGTTGTATACAACAGCACATCACTGAACTGGGAATATAACAGTAACAACATATATCTCAATGACAGCACATCTAAGAAAACCATTTACAACAAAAGAGATTTATAACAACATAGATTTATACAAAGAGTTCATGTAAAACAATTCATAAACATATAGAGAAACAAGTAACAGAAACATAAAAAAATGTAAAAAATATAGTGGCGAACGCACGCTCGCATGCACACACACATACATATAGGGGTCTTCATGGTAAAGTGATTTAACCATCTGCCTTGTGTTCTGAAGATGGTGGGTTCAAATTTGGACTGAATCATTCGATTCACGTGTGCAGGTGGTTTGGAGTCCGGTGCTGGTAGCTGCAGGAGGGAAACAGTTCATGCTCTATGCAACACTCTCAATGACAAACAGCATCTATGTGGAAACACTTGTTAACCCACTGACTACCAAGCCCATTAACCCTTGCATTTTCCCAGATACCACGTATTTTAGTGTGTACTAAAAATGCCATAGCTTCACAACTATTTGATATAATCTCACAATATTTTGTATTTTTGCACCAAACTGAATGAAATACAAATTTCAAGAGAAAAGAAAAAGATGTTTATTCTATTTTGCATCATCATCATGTGGCTGTAGATTGGTGCAAAAAAGACAAGTGAAAAATCTTTTATCTGACAACACTATAGACTACTAAAAATGTAATATTTTCAAAAATATCCAAAAACATTGATTATATTTAGTATTTTTGCACAAAATTGAACCGAAACACACATTGAAAGGCGCAAAAAAAAGGGGGTTTACTTTGTCTGAAATAATCATCATCATCATGTGGCTGTAGATTGTTGCAAAAAAGCAATTGAAAAATCCTTTATATTTATTATAGTCATAGTTATAAAACTGTTCATAGTGTCTTCAAATTTACTTTCTGAAGCTAAATCAGGAAAATCACATGCATCATCAGAAACATTAGGAGAAATATTACCACCAGGATGGTTAAGAGTTTGACACCATAATGAAAATGGCGTCAATGTCTCACCGACATGTGAGCTAACTAAGAAAATTCGTCAAATATTTACTTTAAGCACTACAAAGTTATTTCCCTTAATTAATTATACAGAAGTGAATAAGCTAAAGGCTTAAACTAAATTCATTATAAAAATCACAATTTCAACATGACGGCGAGCGCCCAAAGCTACAGTTGCAAGGGGTGAGACCTTGGCAGCAAGAAGTAAACATTGCCTCGTCGCATAAGCTCCACGTAGATGGAGTCTCTTGTCTTCATCCACACAAGCCATTCAGCACCGGAATGTGAGCAATGTGAGCCTGTATTCCCAGGTCTGATGTGTTGCCTTAATTATTTCACATCAACATTTTGTTTCCAGTACTCCTGATGTTGTCTATCCACTTCTTCCTTGGTCCTGAATGAATGAATGAATCCAGAATTGTCATCTCTGCACTCGGGACATTCCCACATGTGCTCCGTTCCCTTCTTTAGTAGCCAACGAAGACTCCACATGTTAATAGTACCAGTTTATATGGTCTTTCTCTGGTTGTAAAATGCTGACTTTGTTATTATTTGAAGTCGATCAAGTTATATTCTCAACAGACAATTAATATGTTACTTCTGGATGAAACTGAAGCATTACACCTAACATATTTGTAACACCATCAACTCACATCCTATATCTCCTGAAGAACCCAGCAGCTTTCCTTATACCTTTCTTCTCAAGTGTGACAGATTTTCATTTCTCATATGATGGTTAATAAAAAAAACAAGAACACGACAGTGGCTGTTAGTTTGTAATGATAAAATATGAGATGATAATGGTCTCACGATGATGAAAGTGAGAATACAAATGTGGGGGAAATCATTCAGACAATGACTGCAAGGACTTACCAGGAAGAACATTCTTGGCTGCATTTCTCTGCGGGACAGTTTCTGTAGCTCACCCTGCTTTATCAGAACCTGTTGTATAGATAACTTAACATGTAGCCATGAATAACATTGCAAAGAATACGGTAACAGGCTAACATGTGTGCAAATACAGTGATACCTCGGATAACAAAGATCATTCATGCGAGAATCACAACTAGTAGAAATCTTTGCTAGCCAAAATCTTTGTTTACCGAAATCTCTGCAAGCCGAAATCTTTGCTAGCCAATATGTAATTTCCCACAGAATTTCCCATGAATTCAACTCTCAACAGGGCATTGTTGTATTAGCGTGCATAGCCACTAAAATTTTTTTTTAGCTGAATCTTTTAAAAAAAAAAAAAAAAAAAAAAAGTAACCATAAATCATGAGTTGTTAACCCTTTGGCTCGGTACTATGGATATCGCAATCTTTCGGCCTTGTTTCCATGATAGATAAAGTAAATCTGGGATAAATTTGGCTTTTCTACCTACTCCCCCCAGGCATTAACCCTGACCACAAACAAGGAGTTCGTCCCAAGGTCGCTGTGCAGAGAATTTTAAGCAACTGTACTAGTAAGCCGGAGTTAAATCTAAATTCATCAGCCAGGGGAAAACCAAACTGAAGCAGTAAATAATATCTTTGTTTTCACTAATCGTCCACTTGTCCATTACTGGCTTCCATATATGAGGATAGGATTTATATAGCTTTTGAGAATTTATTTTCTCATTTCAAATGACAAAGAAAGTTTGCTACAATATTCTTTACGTTGTAAAATGTTGCATTTGCTTGAGCTCTACATCTAACTTCTTCAACTCTGAGTCCCGGGGTTTTTATCATCAGAGGCCCAAGGGGTGGTTTTGCTATTTTAAAATTTCACTAGTGTAACACATTAAAACACATTATTTGAATTCAGTTGCTGTGCAACATACACATACATCAAAGTGACCAGGAATTGTTGGGGGGAAATAACAGAATGCTGCTACAACAAAAAATTGTGTTAGTAGTTAAAAATCATCCATTCATAATAAAATCTGGAGTAAGACAGGGGTGTGTCTTATCACCTCTGCTCTTTATCACCAACATAGACAGTATATGCAAGAATGGCAAGCCCATGAATGAAAATGTTAGTAAGATCAACGAATTACTCTTTGCAGATGACCAGGCCTTGATAGCAGATACAGCCATAAAATTGCAACAACATCTAACATCCATGAATGAAGAATGTAAAACAAATAAAATGAGAATCAACACTGAAAAGACAGAAGTTATATCAATAGGAAAAAAGAAGACAGATCTAAACATAGCAATAGAGTGCAAAGGCATTAAACAGGCATCTGAGTTTAAATATCTGGGAACTACATTTACCAAAGATGGGAAATTGGATAAAGAAATTAACATAAGATGCAGTAAAGCAAACCAAGTATTGGGACAGCTAGCCCCCCTCTTACAGCATAAGACAATCCCAATCAGCACAAAGAGACATCTTATTCAAAGCATATTTATTCCAACTCTGTGCTACCAGTGCCAGACATGTTCACTCACAACAAACCATAAAAGAAAATTAGTAACCACGGAAATGAGATGTCTGAGAAAGGCTTTAGGAGTGACCATAAGAGATAAGATCAGGAATGAGATCATAAGAGAAAAAGTCGGCACAGAACCAATTCTGGATTACATACGAAGACAGCAAGTGAAATGGTTTGCCCACTTAGAGAGAATGCCTTGTGACACCATACCATACAAAGCATACATGGAAAGAGAAAAAGGACGTAGAGCACGAGGTAGACCAAGAACAATATGGAAGGATAACATCAGAGAAACTCTACAACAGCACAATGTGCCTATGGTCGAGGCGGCCAGAAGAGCTAGAAACAGAACCTTATATCTCCCTCGACACCCACAGCGGTAAAAGAGGAAGTGAAGAAGAAGAAGAAGAAGTTAAATATTAGTAAATAAACAGACGGCATGTTTAGAGAAATTAGTAAAATTAAATCATAATTTTTCCACTTACCACCATGGTCCTCAAGGAAAACTCATTAAAATATATACAAAATGAATAATAAATGAACATGAATCACTTAGTAATGTATAAGTAAAATATACACTCAATATATACATTAGATTTTGTTCCAGAGAATCTCCTGAAGCATCATAACAGAGCACCATTATTTGGTATAGAGAACTGACTTCCCAAAACAATTAGTAACTTCACACAAAAAGAAGTTTAAATATCACCCAATTTGCCTGTAATTTTGTAGCTATGTTCCTAAATAATAATGGGAATGTCACTAGAACTGACACTGAAGAAAATCGCCTTTTCACCAATATTTATTCTGTCTGTTTCAGCTGTCTTCAATATTGTTGTACCCTTCACGTGAGGTACACATTAGACCTATCCCTCATCAAAGTTTGATTCTATAAATGACTGAAACTAGTCTACTTCGCACAGGTATCTAGCTTCGTATAAATTTAATGAACACATGCTTTATTTAAATCTGAGGTTTCTAAAGCCATAAATCATGTTGGCATGCATGCATGCAGAATACTCGTCGATGGACATATTGTATTCAAACAAACAGTAACTCGATAAACCTAGCAAATACACTATATATGAAGCCTATAACCATGTTTCCAGATAAGATGGTGGTCACCACGCAAGATCTCAAAGAACTGGAAAGTAAGCTTAAACTGAGGGGTCCATGTTAGTGGTAAATTAAAAACCTTCACTCGTCACACATCGATTTGGTCTCTGGGTTATAACCAATTAGCGCATGTTGCGTTCTTTGGGATTCAAAGAGATAATACACAACAAAGCCTAACCAACAAGAATGACAGTTTTTTCACCCATCAGTCTACACGCACCAGACTTGAACTATTATACTATACAATGTAAAGGGTCTTCACAAACCAGACTCAAACTATTATACTATACAATGTAAAGGTAAACAGTACAATAGATGCTGTCATATGACAGTGAAGTCTCAGGATCAATTTATAATGAGTTAAAAGACACTCGTTTTACTGTTGCTTTGCCTTGCCTTGCCAGATAATGTTCCCAAATTATCAACACATAATGAGAAAGGATAACTAACTACTTTCAGGGCTGCCTTGTCTTTCCCCAGAATGTCCCCCCAAAACTCATGAAAGTGGATCAAACTGAACCAAGCTGTGATAAAAAACATTCTTGAACCAGTGACTGAACCAGGACCGCTGTGTTGGGAAGCAGGTGCATCAGTCACTATGCCACTAGGGTGCAGGATGCATCACAACAAACACAAATTATGTCTATAGGCACTCACTCTTCCTGGCTGAATGACCTCAAACTGTCCGACCAGTGACCTCTGAACCTCCAGAAGCTTCTGAAGATGATCCTGAAATGAAGAGTCATTAATCGTTAGTTGATTTTCCAACATTACTGCAGATGGATTACCCCCAACTGCACCACTCCTGTACTAGTGGAAATCACACTAAATGTCTTTTACTGTCTCATGTGAAAACTAATGAAAAACTTGTCAGTGCCAGCACAATCTTGAAGAGTAATGAAAGATACAGAACACAATAAAGTGGGTAAAGCAGGGCCAAATCTATCCCATCGAGGACTAGCAAGTGGCCAACTGTACTGTATTGGTGTTTTTATTTCTCTGAGGTTCAGGTCTCTAGGCCCTGCCAATCCTTATTTTTCAAGTTTTTGGCCCCTGAGTAAACTTAGCTAGTGTTAAACCTATTCCAGATCATAGCTTAGTGAAGTGGGGTGGCTAAATATAATTAGAGAGAAAGAGAGGGGGGGGGGGGGGAGAGGGGATGGGAGAGAGAGATAGAGAAAGACAGAGAGACACAGAGAGAGACAAAGAGAGAGAAAGAGAGAAAGAGAGAGAGACAGAGAGAGAGGGGAGAGAGATAGAGAGAGAGGGGGGAGAGAGATAGAGAGAGACAGAGAGAGAGGGAGAGAGACAGGAACACTGAGAGAGACAGAGAGAGAGAGAGGGAGAGAGATGGAGAGAGAGGGAGAGAAAGAGGGAGAGAAAGAGGGAGAGAGACAGAGAGAGGGAGAGAGAGAGACATATAGAGAGAGGGGGACAGATGGGGAGAGAGAGAAAGACAGAGAGACATAGAGAGAGACGGAGAGAAAGAGAGACAGAGAGAGAGAGAAAGAGAGACATAGAGAAAGAGAGACAGAGAGAGAAAGAGAGAAAGAGAGAGACAGACAGAGAGAGGGGGTGAGTGACAGAGAGAGAGAAAGACGGAGACCTAGAGAGAGACAAAGACAGAGAGAGGTGGAGAGAGACACAGAGAGAAAGACAGAGAGGGAGAGAGAGACAGAGAGAGGGAGAGAAAGAGAGAGAAAGAGACAGAGAGAGGGAGAGAGAGAAAGAGAGAGACAGGCAAAGACAGAGAGAGGGGGAGAGAGACAGGGAGAGAAAGACAGAGAGGGAGAGAGAGACAGAGAGAGGGAGAGAAAGAGAGAGAAAGAGACTGAGAGAGGGAGAGAGAGAAAGAGAGAGACAGACAGACAGAGAGAGGGGGAGAGAGAGACAGGGAGAGAAAGACAGAGAGGGAGAGAGAGACAGAGAGAGGGAGAGAAAGAGAGAGAAAGAGACTGAGAGAGGGAGAGAGAGAAAGAGAGAGACAGAGAGAGAGACAGAGAGAGGGAGAGAGAGAGAGAGACAAAGAGAGAGAGAGACAGAGAGAGAGAGAGAGAGAGAGAGAGAGAGAGAAGAAGATTGAATTAAAAAACAAATAAGCCATTTTTAAAAAAAGTCACAAATAGGGCACACAGGCCCGTCTTACATTTGGCCCCCCCCCCCCCCCAAACACCCATCTTTCACACAGCAGTTTTATTTTATCAGTAAAGCATGTTATGTTCATATAATAATATGCATGTTATGGATATCAAAGAAAAGACATGGGTAATAAAATAGACACGCGCTAGCGCATGCACACACACACACATACACCATCACTCATTCACACACACATATATATTCTCACATGCACACAGACAGACACAGACATACAGATAGACACACACAGTCACATGCACAAATACACACAAGCACACAGACACACATGCAGACACATGCAAACACACTCACAGACTCACACACACACTTACACACTGGGACACACAGAGACACACACACAAAGATGCACAGACAGACACACATGTAGAGACACACAACAGACACATACATGAGAAAAAAGAAAGAAAGAAAGAGAGAGAGAGAGAGAGAGAGAGAGAGAGAGAGAGAGAGAGAGAGAGAGAGAGAGAGAGAGAGAGAGAGAGAGAGAGAGAGAGAGAGAGAGAGAGAGAGCAGCTCACCCCCTGTCTCATGCTGTTGTTGGCATGTTCAGCAACCTCACTGACTATACTGAGAGCATCTGTGGAGAACAAGAGATAGGCAACATTGAGAACAAGAGATAGGCAGCATTGGCACTTCACTGAGAACAAGAGATAGGCAACATTGGCACTTCGCTGAGAACAAGAGATAGGTAACATTGGCACTTCGCTGAGAACAAGAGATAGGCAGCATTGGCACTTCACTGAGAACAAGAGATAGGCAACATTGGCACTTCGCTGAGAACAAGAGATAGGCAACATTGGCACTTCGCTGAGAACAAGAGATAGGCAGCATTGGCACTTCACTGAGAACAAGAGATAGGCAACATTGGCACTTCGCTGAGAACAAGAGATAGGCATAATTGGCACTTCACTGAGAACAAGAGATAGGCAACATTAGCACTTCACTGAGAACAAGAGATAGGCAACATTGAGAACAAGAGATGGGCAACATTGAGAACAAGAGATAGGCAACATTGAGAACAAGAGATAGGCAACACTGAGAACAAGAGATAGGCAACACTGAGAACAAGAGAGAGGCAACACTGAGAACAAGAGATAGGCAACATTGAGAACAAGAGATGGGCAACATTGAGAACAAGAGATAGGCAACACTGAGAACAAGAGAGAGGCAACACTGAGAACAAGAGATAGGCAACACTGAGAACAAGAGATAGGCAACATTGAGAACAAGAGATAGGCAACATTGAGAACAAGAGATAGGCAGCATTGGCACTTTGCTGAGAACAAGAGATAGGCAACATTGGCACGTCACTGAGAACACATGGTGAATTATCTCATCTCATCGTCTTCAGTTTAAGCACTTGTTGTAACTGTTAATGATTTAAGGATCGAAATCACAGCACACCAGGCTTACCCATAAAAGATCAGTCTCCCGCAGCAAATATCTTAAAGTGTAGATGCTAACTGTACCTGTAGCACACTGATTATACACACGTCATTCTCTTCCTCTTATCCGTCCCTTCTTGCTGAATCTACTTCTAATTCCACTTTCACACATTCTTACACAAGCTATTTCACTAATCTCATGTCTTCTATCAGCATTTGTTCATAAATTATGTTCTGGATGTCAACAATTAAGCCAACAAATCTGCTCTTTTATTTCCTCGCACACCTGCATCTAACTATCATAGAAAGTTAAGCCAGGAGACATCCTGAAATATTCATGGTGTTCAACCCATTTTTACAGACCAATCAGCACTTGACGGGGGATGTGGTAAATATAACATCAGACGCAAAAACCTTCTCAAAAAGGAACCTGATTTTATTATGGTCAACACAAAAAAGCTCTCTATGAAGCAAACTGTGTCGTCCAGGCAGGTTGCCTTCATCTATAAATTGGCAAAATTGAAATATTTCCTGGTTGACAGATGACAAATAAACCACCATTTTGTGTAACTAGCGACAGTTGTGTTGTTACAAATACAGCTCTGAGCCAAAGGTGAACATTAATGCTGTTTTTAAACTTGGAAAAGTATTCCCGAGACACTGAATTAATGAGATAAGTTTATGAGGATCAATGTTTATCAAATTTCCCATCATATTCAACTGTCATAATTCTCATTGTCAGACATCAGTTTTCAGGTATCCATTCTCTGACTCTGCTACAGAGTTTCATCATTACAATCAGAAACTGAATGTGATGGTTTTGAATCGTGAAGACCACTTCATGGATGATAAAATGAGAGGGCTCTGCAAGCCTTAGCTAACTGAGAAACAGTGATCTGAGACTTATTTCTGGGTCTTTATCTTGTCCCCCCATCACCATAAATTTTAAGTCATCACGAAATCTTCAAGTTAACATCTACTCATACTATGCCCGCGACATATCTGAATTGTTTACATTTAACTTCTAAAATCTAAATGATATGCGTAGCCAAGTGCTACAAGTGAGAATAGTCTTTTTTTTGTTTTTTTGTTCTCTAGTAGAATGTGAGTGTAATATCCACTCTACAGTTAGTTCAACAAGTTATACACAAACCAAAATTTATGGTGTTAAGAAAAGATTTAAAAAACACAAACATCAACACAAATCTGCTGGCTATACAAAGCAGGTTAAACAAATGTCAATCAATAAGCTATTAACATAGTACAATAAGCTCTACCATTCAAATTACACAGATAATTTCAATTAAAAACAGTTGTACAAGTCACCCTGGTGTACAAATCAACCTGGTGTACAAGTTGACCTGGTGTACAAGTCGACTTGGTGTACAAGTCAAATTGGTTTACAAATCAACCTGGTATAAAGTCAACTTGGCGTACAAGTTGACCTTCAGATTTTAAGCTCAACATTCTACTCTAGTCCTATTTTATACCCACCACATTAGCTGACCTAGTTTTGGGAAAATGTGAAGGACATTAACTGGTATCATTTTAGGCTGGGTTAACCTGAGGACAAAGGTCAATTTGGAAAAAAGAATTTGCTATCTCCATCTGAAGTGGGTTTGAACCCAAGGCCTTTGGGCCAGTAAAAGAGCAGCTAGCTACAATGCTACCATGCCCCCCTCTCCCTCAGGGAGATCTTCTTCTCCCTCACGTTTGCAGGCTGTAGAACTCCGATGGAAAGTTCTGCTTGTTTGTCCACTTTTGGATTTTAGCCTTGATTTAAAACTTGAGTTCTTTCTGGTGCCTTTGCATTTTACAGATTTGGCTCTTTTGTATGCAGGCTGATGGTTCCTTGCTTCTCACACAGAAGCACTCCAACTTTCAATGAAGCACTGCTAATTAGTCGACACCTTTAATATGCTTGTTTATTTGGCAGTGGTCAGTTCCCACTTCCGCAACCCAAATGTTCTCCGGAACCCATACAGGAAAGAAAAGTAATAACAGGTATCATAAAGTGAGTGTTGATTTGTCTATACAAACCTGGGGTATCCACCATATATGTCACTTCAGGCTGTGGACACGGAGCCTTTACCTGACTTACTTACACACTGACTAAGGAGACCTGAATTCTCCTATACACATAAAGACAACATACCAAACTAGCACAGACAGTAGAACAAGCAACAAACAAAAGTCTAGTGCAGCAGTTCTCAACCCCTTTGGGGTAGTGGGTCGAACGACCTTTTCGCAGGGGTTGCCTAAGACCATTGAAAAACACAAATCCATTGAGGTTATGAAGTAGCAACAAAAATAATTTTTTTGATTGGGGGTCACCACAGCATGAGGAACTATATTAAAGGGTAGCAGCATTAGTAAGGTGGAGAACCACTGGTCTAGTAAAAAGCAAGCACAAGAAGCTGAGAGGTATTTATATATATATATTTATATACAGACATATCTAACAGCTTAACACTTCATGTTTCAGACAGGTGACACATTAACACACTGCATATTAGGGTCTTATTTCTGGGTCTTTATCTTGCCCCCACCATAAATTTGAGCAGTTGTCACAAAGTCTTCAAGTTAACGTCTACTTATACTATTCCCGCGACATATCTGAATTGTTTACATCTAACTTCTAAAATCTAAATGATATATGCAGCCAAGTGCTACAAGTGGGAAGTCTTTTTCTTAGTTCTACAGTAGTTCTACAGTAGTATGTGAGTGTAATATCCACTCTACAGTTAGTTCAACTGGTTACACCCACACACACAAAATATGGTATTAAGAAAAGAGTAAACAAAATGAGTAAAGAAAAATAAAAAGCAAATGTTACTAAACCATCTCGTTTCACACCTGGCTGTTATTTTATTATCTTCTTATCCAATTTCACTTCCTGGCACATAGGGTTAATGCTAAGCAACTTCACTTCCTGGCACATAGGGTTAATGCTAAGCAACTTCACTTCCTGGCACATAGGGTTAATGCTAAGCAACTTCACTTCCTGGCACATAGGGTTAATGCTAAGCAACTTCACTTCCTGGCACATAGGGTAATGCTAAGCAACTTCACTTCCTGGCACATAGGGTTAATGCTAAGCAACTTCACTTCCTGGCACATAGGGTTAATGCTAAGCAACTTCACTTCCTGGCACATAGGGTTAATGCTAAGCAACTTCACTTCCTGGCACATAGGGTTAATGCTAAGCAACTTCACTTCCTGGCACATAGGGTTAATGCTAAGCAACTTCACTTCCTGGCACATAGGGTTAATGCTAAGTCTGTGATGGGTGCAAAAAAAACCCAAGTTAACTCAAAGTTAGTTAAGATAACTGGTGAAGAGTATTTATCCATTCATCCATCCTGTCTGATTACTTACCTACAAATTCCACCGGTCAATTCCTCCCTCTGCTTGCTTTTTCATTAAAAATCTTTCCATCTGTTTATCCACCTACCCGACACCTTCGTTAAAAAAATCCATCCATCCATCTATCCGTCTTGTCTATCTATCTACCTAACACATACACACACACAACAACACTCAGTTTGTATATGTGTTATACAGAAAGCGACAAAAAACATGCTGTCAACCTTGTGGTGGTTACCTAACCTAGACTGAAATCACTGTTGTCTAGAGAAGGCCTGGCAAAACATCTGTCAAGGAAAACATATGTCAATGTTACACCAGGCAGAAGATGTCAGCAATACACAGATCAGAGACTGTTAAATAAACCAGACAGTGACATGCTGGAGTCATGCCTCTCTCTGGGGCTTTCAACACAATCAACAATTTTAGTTCTCAATGACAGAGCATCTAGAGGTTAGTGAATACATTTAACAATTTCATGGTCTTCAGCATTAAGTTTAAATTTCCATTGTGGATGGTTAAAAACAAAAACATTCTCATCGTTTTGGGGCTAGAGTACAAGAGTCGTACTGTGGAAGAGATTGGGACCTCACCGTGTGATATTGCCAAAGACAACAGTGATAGATTGAAGCCAACTTTTGTTGTGGTGATGGCACACAATCCATAATTAGAATAACACAGCTAAGAGTATACTGGTTAGAACTAATGTCTCCAAGATGTAGAACAAGTGTGTCATTAACTTGTTCTGTTACAAGAACTACTCTAACTAATCAACATTTAGGTATCTCGTCCAAACTGAAGCGGTCAGACCATTTGTCTCATGATCTGAAGGTCGTGGTTTTGCTTCATGGACTTTGTTACGTGGTCAATAAATGAAATTTTAACGGAGATTCCTGCAAATTCTTTACTGGAGTTTGTGCTGTGCGTGAGACAGACAGAGCCATATGGAACAAAAACTAAACGCAAATGAAGTTGATTCTCTTGACAATGACAAAAACTAAACAATAAGGTCTGAAGAGTTCAAACTTATTCCTCCATGATGCTGGAACTTTTGTATAGGACAGAACGGAATGAAAGAATAACCTGTGAGCCCTGTGTGACATATAACACCACAACAGGATCACGATGATGATGAAGTAAAGAAAATAAATACTCTCTTGTGTAGTCCAATGTGTGAAATACGAGCAAAATAACACTTCAAGATGTTATAAATTATGTGAAATATACCAAACATTTTGAACACCAACCAAAATATGCATGACAATTTCAAAACCTTACCCAATATACGAAGCAGGCATACCTAACACTCCAAAGTCAACTTACTGATGGTATCTTTGTAATCAGGGGAATCTTGGGCCAAGTGTTTCAAGTAGTCTGGAACAATCAGACATAAAAATCATGGGTAATTTAACTTTTGGGTAGTTTGGAACAGACATACAAACATAGATATTTAGCTTTTTCACATGCGTTTTTAACTTTTTCAAGTAATCTGGAACAATCAGACATAAACTCATGGGTAAATTAACTTTCAGGTGGTCTGGAAAAATCAGACATAAAATCATGGGTATTTAACTTTTTTTTTTTTTTTGGGTAGTCTGGAACAATCAGCATAAAACCATGAAAATTTAACTCTTTTAGGACCAGTGGGCAGTTACTTCAACACTGTTGTAATGAGACTTTATGCACTGCAAAATGTGGCATAAAGGTTGAGTTTGCAAGCCTTAAAAGTATATTTTCCAAACATATTAACGAAGCATAGGTCGAACAACAAATACAACAACAATTATAAACACAACTGACTGTAATGCTATGTTTAGATACAAAGAACTTTTAAAGCAGAGATATGACTGGTCGGTTCCATTGTGTTGCAATGCAGAAATAAACAAGTGCTGATACTCATATTCATTTCTCTTTGTCTTCCTATTGATTCTCGACCGCTGAAATTTACATGGTTAAAAAACACAACTCGGCTATGATTTGGTGCCTGACCAGTCTGAACTGTAGTGGTTGGACTAGAGGCATGTGCGACTTGTGCCATTTCTAGTACTGAAAAAGACATCGAAGCTACCTACCTTGCAATAACAGCTTGTACTGAGGGATCCTTTGAATGGGTTTCAGCATGTAGTGTTTCAGAGCCAATCTAGCACATCTGGAACTCATCTTCAGATACAGAAATAAACACACTAGCATTGAATTATAAGACCACTAGAGATTTCTAAACAGCCTGCAGGTCCTAGTATTAATGAATGTATCATTACTACAACTACTACTGCTGCTACTTCTACTACTACTAGTGACCCTGTTTCTACTCACACAAATACTACAACTACTACTTAGTTAGTCTTTCCTCTTGAGCCTAAGGCAGGACATAGGGCTGAGGTCATAGCTCTAAATTTCTGGCGATTCGTTGCGACCTACTGTAGGTCTTGGATGTTTATTAGGCCCATGGTTGAGCCTTCTCCGAAGATGGTCTTCACAGGCTATCTCTTGGTCGTCCTCCTCTTCTTTCCTTCCGGTGTCCATATGAAGGCTTGATAGGGGAGACTTGTCTTATCCAGTGCATGGCCAATGTAGTTCCAGCGGCGCTTTCTTTAAAAAATGGATACATTGTCTCGCTTGGTCTCTTGTCTTACTTGTGTTTTGGATCTGAAATCTGTCCAGTGGGGATTCAGTTTTCTTCTAAAACATTTGTTCTCAAAATTGTCTAATATTTTATCTAGAGCTATCGTTACTTTCCAACTCGTGCATCCATAACAACTACCACTGCTGATACTAAAACCACAACTCTACTACTGCTGCTGCTGCTGCTACTACTGATACAAATACTATAACTACTCATACATATAAGTGTATTAAGAAATTAACAGGCAGATAGACTGGCTAGTTCTGCACAACTTGGTGGTGAATTGGTACATGACAAGCTAGATGTTGTGAGGGCCCTTTGTGTGAAGTGAACAGTGCAAAGGCACTTTAACAAATATGTGTGTGCTGTATATGCAAGTTCACTGACAACTATGAACTCTTGTAACTACAGTGAAGAGGCAGAAAATGCAACAAAAACAATACTACGGGGTGCAAGAGAGGGGAAGAGGAGAAGGAGCAGATGAAGAATGACCTGGATACAGAACTTGAGACTGAATGGTCAGGCCTTAGGCATGCAACCACAAAATCCAATGCCTCTGACCGTCAAAGATGGAGGGAGCTGATTAGACGGTCAACAGCAACTGGTGACCCACTCAAAGCTATGGGACGATGACAATAATGATATGGAAGCTATGCAGTTGATAAAAGCAGTGGTGCAGCTGAATTAAGAGAGTTAAAGATTCAGAAGGTGGAGAGATGGACCTCAGGAAGTGATTCATTCAATGAAGAAATGGCTATGTGAAGAGCAAAAGACCGGAAACAGGTACGGCATACTCCCCATGTTCCATACTGTCATAGAAATGAACAGACATGGTTCAGAAAATTGAAAGATTAAAGGATATGAATTATATTGCCAGTAGATTTCATCATTTGGGAATACTTAATTTGTGAGAAAACAAGGGGGTGATAATCAGGCCTTTCATCTGCTAGGAAGAAGAAGTTTTCTGAATGCATAGAACGAATAGTTCTTTCCCAGTGTTGGCATGGTATTTGGGCCACATCAATTTGAAGATCTAGCTCAAGGTCTTTTCAGAATTGTCTTTTTGAAAAATTATTTCTGCTATTCTGGCTGTTTTACATGATACAGCTTCTTGCCAAGCAGATCAGTAGCAGAATGAAGGGTCGCCTGCAGCAACCTCTCATACATAAGGTCAAGGTCTTCAACGATATATTCAGACTGTCCTTAAATTGTTTCTTTTGTCTGCTTTGGCAGCATTTTCCTTATTACAGTTCATTGCAAGACTTTTCTTTTCTTTCTTATTGTAGCAAATGTTGGTCTGACATGCAGACTACATGCATTAACTGACTTCCAACTATCCTGCACTGACTGACTCACCTCAAACTCTTTTACAGCCGCTGCAAATGCCGAGTTCCTCTTACAGGCCTCCTCTAAGGCTGTGGTTGCATTTTCAAAGTTGCGTATGTATGAAGTGTACAGCTTCAGGAAAGGTCCTTTCTTGACAAAGACATCTGCAAGCCGAGGATTCACGTCCCTAGAAACACAACATTTTTAAACAGCAGAAACAACTTGAGGACATATGAATACAAGTAAAAGGGTAGACAATGATACAAGCTGGAGGACAATATCAAGAGATCGACAAACAGCAGTCTAAGAGAGTGTACAACCAAGAGGAGAGTCAGAGAGTGCTGCAGATCCATTGCAGCCAACCTTCACGGTGGAGATGGCACCTGACTGACTAAATACAGGCAAACAAGTACACAGAACATACAGTGAACCCTCAATTCTAGAAGATAATTTGTACCTAAAAGTTGTTCAGAAACTGAACTGTTCAAGAAGTGAAATCCCTTTCCCTTTAAGAATTAATGTAAAAAAAAGTCAGTTTGTTTCTTAACATCAGATGATTGCTGAATTATTTGAACTGAGCTGAGCTGAATTTAGAACCAAAACCACAGCACACAGAACACTGCCATAAGTGCTCCATTTCCGTCCTCAGCAGCCAATGCAGATTCCAGTTCTGACTGTACCAGTGACGGTATGATTATATCTCTGCTTGACTTTCATCTGGGCCATTCCCATAAGTGCTCAGTCTCCATTTTCAGCAGCCGGCTGCGTAGAATTCCAAACTTCTCATCTTTACCCTCTCTAAAGTGATAGCTGAAGATGATACTGAACACATACATACCACATTGTAGCTCTGACGATGATTCTTTGTAAACAAAATTTCATGCAGTCAATTCAACTCAATTTCATGAAGACAAGCACATCAACAAAGAGTTAACAGAGCACAGTGACACAGAGTTAACTGACCAATGCTCTACTCTCTCACTGAGGTCCTTCAGCAAGTCTTCATTCAGATTCTGAAGCTGCGGAAGGAAGTCCAGGATTTTATTCATAGTCTCTGCTGGCACAATGGGATGGTTGCATTGCTCTCCTGATTTTGAAATGTGCACTCGGAAGTCCTACAACAGGAAAATACAGCAGTTTGTTAATAGGCAGTGAATGGAGGTTGACTGCAGTGCAGCCATTTACTACTACTGACTTTAGGAATACAGTGAGGCCCCAATCTCCTTCACAGAGAGGTCCTTGCATGAATGCCACAAGAATGTTTATTAACAACTATAAAGTCCACCGCAGGCATTCAGCCCTGATAAATCAAGGATCATTAAATTATGGAACACATTCACCAGCCTCTAAGCCACAGACTTCCCAAACTGCTCCAATATTAATGGCTGAAAGACAATAAACAGATAAAGCACCCTCTTTCATGCCAGACTGTCCTTTGGCATATTAAGCTAGACTTAAGTTACTCAGACTAACTGGCACTTGACGGATGTTGTGGTCAAAATTATGCCAGCCGCCTCGACTTCCAGGACATGTCCCCGTACCCATTACAGGCTGGGTCGACCTGGCAGTCAAGGTCAATCTGGTGTGGATTTGAAACAAAGATCTTTGGCTTGGAAGGCAAGCGTAAAAGAGTGTTGTGACTAAATATCAACCATAACAATTTACTAAGGTCAAGTAATGCTGTTCCCAAAATTAAAGCTGGTTGCAATGATCACCAGCAGGGCATGTTTGAAGTTGACTGATTGCTGCATATACTTTTATCCAGTATGTAACTGTAACAGACTCACAGAGTATACTTTGGAAAATGGAAACTTGTGTCCTGCGTGCAGAGTGGCTTGCATTGTTTGACAAGACTCAGATCAGGAGCATATCATGGATTTTCTGTCCAGGACATTAAAATGTGGGAGTCGCCGTGGTGTAGCGGCTAGACGCTCTCATGCGGATCGGAAGGTCGTGGGTTCGCTTCCTGGCGGAGCTGGACTTTTAAAAAAAATGACCTCAACTCATAGGCTGACCCAGATTTGAGTGGGTATTGGGTGCAGCCCCGGGAAGTAAAGGTAGCCGGCGTGATACTGACCACATCACCCATCTTGTGCAGATTGGTCTATAAAAATATAGGTGTAGCCCTATATGCCCTTTACACCTAAAGGCGTGGAAAAGGGACCTTTACAATTTTTTTTTTTTACTTACATTAAAATGTGGGAATTAACAAGCAGGCTGACAGATCCACTGCTGCCCATCCTCTGGGTGGTTACTTACTCTATGATAAAGCAGATGTGGTGAAGGCTCTCTTGGATCAAACGGACAGTACAACAGAACAGGCAGAAAATCCATACACTGAAAGACTAATTCAACGGTGGTGAATAGAGGTTGTGGAAAATATTCAACACTGAGGGGAAACATTGGTGGACTTTTAATCCGGTCGCAGTTGGTATTTTATTAGCATGATGACTCCTCGCTGGCCACTGAAGAAGGGAACAGAGCATACGTCCTGATGTCCGGAGTGCAGTGATGCCAATTCGTGATTCACTCATATACTTTCATCAAACTGACGTGCTAGAAAAATCAATGCAGGTGTAGAAACTGGCAGAATCCTGCGGTGTAACAGTAAGGGATGCTGTATAAACTTTACTGATATGTTAAAAGTGTGAAAAACATGACCATGCTTCACATCTTCGTAATACAGAACTACAACTGTGGATACCAGGGTGCCACTGTTGGGAAAACAAGAACAGACCCACTACCTACCCAAAAGCACGTCAAAGAGTCGACTAACTGGGAACTTCCTTCAAAGTTAAAGTGCAAGGACAGGCAAGGCACTATCAGTCTGCATACACATGAGTCAGATCTGTAACATGAATGTGCATGCAACACTCAGGTTCTGGAACAGGACCAGAGTCCAGGATCAAAGGAACAACCAGAAATTTCCGCAGTTTATAGATGGTGAACGCAAAGTAGTAGCAGCAATACAAAACATACACATTGAAAAGTTACAATGAAGGCTGTTTTCACCTTCCTCAAGGTCTATGATGGTGGTAATGTTTCTAAATTTTAGCAAGAATACCTTGTTATTTTTAAAAATATAAATGTATATGCAGTGCTCTGAATTAAGAACTGACACCAAAGCATTCAAGACATTCCGTCCCCATCAGCAGCCTGCCCAGAGCTCCAGTTCTAATGACAACAGTAGCAGTTTGGTTATATCTTGCCTTTATCTGAGTGCTTGCTGAGTGTCCGTTTAATTCTTTGGTTGCTCCCTGCTTCATCATTTTCTCCACAACATGTTTTATTTTCGCTATTAAATAAATGAACACGTATAAATAATACCTTATAAATGCACGTTGTTATAAATAATGAACAGTTAAGTAACAATGTGAAAAATCGAGTTTACCACATTCAACAGACGTAGAACATCAACAAATGTGCTTTCAGAAGACACAATTTCTTTTGCTATGAAGAGGACTTTCTTGGCTTTTCTCTGCATCTGCACAATTCAATACAAAAACATACTTTATCATAAAAGGTTATTTTGAAACAAAAATACAGAAATAAAAGAGTGACTATCTAAATTTAGATTTTATATGTGTCATTATTCACTTTCTCATCATGTCTTTCCAAATGGTGTGGGCAAACATGCTTCTATGCATCTCAAATGCTTCTTCTTCATCTCCAGTGTTCGCATTAAAAGGAAGGTTGACACATTATGTTATGGTTTACAGCTACACTGTCATATCTTCACCTTTCAGCCCAGACATATCTGATATCATATCCGGGGCCGCTTTAGCGCAGTCGATAATAGGCTTGCTTTCAAATCCAGCTGCAATTCGCTGCAGCCCACGGTCGGAGTTCGAAACCGGGCTGTTCCCGGGGTTCACTCAGCCTCTAGGAAATGGGTACCAGAGTTGACAATCTGGGGTAAATGGAGGAACGTTGCTGTAGCTACAGAGTTACGTACGGACGGCGACACAAGCAGACAATTCTTATCAACTGTCCGTACTGGTGGCAGAGCACTTATGGTTTATAACCATGTGCAATGACGCTGGTTCACATCTCCCGACTTTACCTTTTTTTTGTATCCGATATCAGAAAATCCTTAATCAGTCACCTTTTACAACATGTTTGTTAAGGTGCAGTGGATCATTTAAATTTTCAAAAAAAAAAAAAAAAGGGTCTCTGGATCCACACATGGAATACCAAACCCACACATGGAAGACCACAACAACACATGGAAGACCACACCCACACACAGAATACCACACCCACACATGGAATACCATACTCACACACAGAATACCACACCCACACATGGAAGACCACCCCCACACACAGAATACAACACCTACACATGGAAGACCACACACAGAATACCACACCCACACATGGAAGACACAAATGGTGATATATATCCAAATATGAGAAGGAGTGTACATGAATCTCTTTCAGGATGCACCGGTGACGAACCACACATGGTGACCCAGGACCAGGGTTCGTACTGTTCAAGACTGTTTATGTCTACACCTTCCTAGAAACGGGTCACTAACTGGGAGTCTGGCCAACATAGATAGGAACGACGTTTCCTATAAAGTCCAAGTACATTTGCATGAGGTGAGAAACCAACAGTCTGCACAGAAATAAGCCAGATGTGTAAAATGATGAGCGCGCAACTCTCAAGTTATGGAACAAGACCATTGCATTGGCATACAGTGACAACATAAGACAAGACAAAGTTACGACTGTTAGGGCGACTGGCTCGAAACTGGACAGGTATGATGTCATTAATGCCAGGCAGGCTACACATTGCAATGCAGATCATGACAACAAACAGGACTCGGTATCCTCGTTGAGATTGGTCGACTTGGAGGTGCAACCTGGAGCAGCCACATATTAACATTTCATCTAGGGTGCAGGATGTCTGATTAATCAACACAGTTGGAGCGTGACCAGTCATTCTACTCTTGTGGAGCTACTGAGGAGATTGAAGCACCTATGAATCTGTCTGCAGTGCTGTGATGACAACCCTCAATAATCAGCAAGACAAAGCTGCACACAGGTCTTTTAATCAGGCTAATCCCCTGCCATAACAATGAGAGAACAAAGTGTTAAGATAAGCCAAAACGATCAGATAAAACCAACTCACATATATATCCTCCTTATCTGGCTCTGGTTCTGTATCTGTCCCGGAGCTGACAGCCTCCTCTGAATCCTGAGGCTCGAACCTCTGACTGCTTGTAATCCGCTGACTGGCCTCAGACAGTGGACGATCTGATGAGCTTGAAGAGCCTGTTGTTTCCAGAGAAGAGACTTCTGGTCCCAGTTCCTGGTCTGCACTGATGCACACAGAAAGGTGACCAACTGAATCCTTCCCGTTATCTCCAAGGGCTTCTAGCGAACTGTCTAAATCTGATCTGGTGCTGATCACATTTTCAAGATGATTATCTCCTTTTAAATTTGAAGTGATGGTAGTTGGGGGACTAGTGATGACAGAAACATCAGTAATCTGTGATTTCCTGGAGGATTTTCTCAGCCCTAGGCCGTATGCGACTCTGTGTAACAGAGCTCTCCTAGGTGTCTTTTCTATTTTCATATGTCCAACGGTGCCAGGTTTGGAAGCCAGGTGAGATGTGGAGTGTGAGGAGTCAACTTGAGGTTCTGTGATGTAAAACCTGGAGCTTCTCTTAGTTTCCTTTCCTTGTGTCAATGCTGCATGATTGAATATTATATTAATAAACAATACACCACAATGCAGTATATAAGAACATTAATAACTATACACAGATACAGTGCTGTTACAAGAATTCCCTAAATCCTTGTAATATTATCAAATTATATATTATATACAACTATATTCAAATATTTTAATTGAAAAAACAATATAGCCATAACTACAATTATGTTTTAAAAACATTAGATGTTATATGTAATGGTTTTAAAACATTAAAATACATTAAATTCGCCTCTTCACGGACATAGTTTCAAAGCACTAAAATTCTAAGATTGTTATAATAAATATTAAAATTCACCTTTTGCTGTCAGTTTAATAGCATCAATATTCTAAGATTGTTAAAATAAATTATAAAATGTTCAAACTCAAAGATCCTTTAAAGACTTTATAAATTTAAATGAAAAAAAACCTCTTTCACTAATCCATTCATGATGATTAATATCTGCTGGTTGTTTTATTTTCAGACATAAACTCTAATATTAGATACTTGTTAGTTTTGTTTGTTATTATTTCTCTGTTTACTTTTAGATGAGGACTCGCATTCACAAACAACATCAAAAACATGACACCACTTGCAATGTTCAAGTTTTTGGTGATTTTTCAAGTTTCATAATGAACTCCAGCCACAGTGCAGAACAATTAGGGACTTAATCTGTTAAAGTTATCAGCATCAAATTTCACAGGCAAGAAACAACAAGTTAAAATACATGTCAAAGTTATTATTCATGTTGATAAAGTTACACATGAAATGCTTACTACAAAGCATGCATGTTTGATCCAGGCGTAATAATGTCACCATTTGTGGTGCATGTTTCCCATGTACTCTGAGGACCATTAACCCTTTTCTTACGTACATTCGACAGAATAAAACCCACCGCCTAGAAATCCCCTGTTCCCCCCCCCCCCCCCCCCCCCTACACAAAACATTTTACAGTCACTAATACTTCTGCTTTCATCCGCAGACATAAATGCGTTATGCCTGTTAACAACATGGCTGCAATATCTGCACCTTTTAGCCGACACATCTGACTTCTGTAGGCATTTGTTGACCGGGTTAGCCTCCCTAGGGTCACTAATATATTTCTTAAATACAAAATTACTGTATACAGATTTCATAACTTGTTACAGAATTTACAACTGGCAGTAGTCAACAAAACATGACTGCAGTGGAGAATTCAACAACTCCACACTGCCTTGTGTCTAAAAACAAAATGTATAATTTTGATACGGTCTTATACAGCTGCACAAACTACTAAAGGCTAAAGGAGAATTATGGCTTCGCAAGGACTGGTCAGTGCAGCAGTGCTATTTTAGTGGCTTCTCAGGGACTGGTCAGTGCAGCAGGGCCAGTTTTGTGACTTCTTGGGGACCGGTCAGTGCAGCAGTGCCAGTTTAGTGACTTCTCGGGGACTGGTCAGTGCAGCAGTGCCAGTTTAGTGACTTCTCGGGGACTGGTCAGTGCAGCAGTGCCAGTTTAGTGACTTCAGGGACTGGTCAGTGCAGCAGTGCCAGCAGTGCCAGTTTAGTGACTTCTCGGAACTGGTCAGTGCAGCAGTGCCAGTTTAGTGACTTCTCGGGGACTGGTCAGTGCAACAGTACCAGAGTGCCAGTTTAACATCAACCAAGTATGAACAAATCTCTAAGAAGACAATTTTATGAACAATTCTACAAGAAGACAATTAGGCGATATTTTGAGAGACCAGTTCCCATGTGATGAAACAGACCAAAGAGGTGACTGTGAAGTACTGCCTAATAACTGCACTGTTCCTCTGCCAATGGAAATCACACAAAATGTCCCATCTGAAAACTAGTGAAAAACTTGGCAGTCCCATCTGAAAACTAGTGAAACACTTTTCAGTTCCATCTGAAAACTAGTGAAAAACTTGGCAGTCCCATCTGAAAACTAGTGGAAAACTTGGCTGTCTCATCTGAAAACTAGTGAATCTTGAAGTTTGCACATGCAAAGTAAAAATGTATAAAATAGAAGTCAGATGTTCCAGTGCATGGTTTCAGCGAAGTGTGGCAAACATGACTCGTAGTCTGGTTTGGACTGGTGGACTGTCTCTAATTCATCAGGTTCGGGTAAAGTCCAAATGTCATACAGTCTTAACCATCAGTATATGAGATGGGACACTTTGCATTTCAAATCTATAATGGCAGTTTCATTTGCAAAGTTGAAAATTACTAGATTAAAGAAATTAGAAAAGCATCTTTGAAACCTGAAATTCTAGCATTTCAGATTAGAGGCTTAGTGTCTTACAACCTACTATCAGTTGCTAGGTAAAGACTATACACTAAAAACAAACATCAATACAGTCATGCATGCACATACACATGCGCTCATGCATGCATTCATAGAATCAGTCAAGACATAACATACTGAAGAGGGGAGAACAGGGAAATAAAAAAACTTGTGCCAAAGAGCATCAGTGATCTGGAAGACAAAAAACGTACTTCAATTATATTACAGGTGAATTAAACTATTTATGTGCCAGATTCTGGTTACTGTAACCCAATCTATAACATGCAAATTACCATACAGGTATGATTTCTCCTGAAGTGGCCAAGTCACAAAGGAAACAGATTTAGATTGTGAAATGGATACAATAGACTCCCCAGCAGTATGAGCTGGAGATTCAAGACTGAGCACTCAGAACTGTGCACACGTGGTCAGGCACTCCAGAATGTACTCCAGATATGCTGCCTGATTGCTGTAGAGAGAGATCCCATGTTTCGTCACTGAGAAACCAAGATGTATGGATCAGTGGAGGACATGTGCCACAGCTGTCAGAGAGGACTGAGGCCTTCTTATCTGAAAACCATTGGCAAGGAGAACAAAACAGAAGATGTGATCAAGTAGATGTTCACACACCAAGTAGATGTTCAAAACATCAGGCAGATATTCACACACCAAGTGGATGTTCACACACCAGGTAGATATTTACACACCATCGTTTTCTTATGTTGGTTCACACTAGTTTTTGCTTCTATGTGTTGGTGGACAGAAAATTAATGAGGCAGTCTGTGAAGAAACATATGAAAACCATAAACTGTTCTGAGAAATTATGAATCCAAGTACACTTGTTTCTGCAGCCAGGCAGAGGAAGCATCTCCACATTTTGTATTCTCCGACCCAATGTATCCATTCATTATGTTCGTACTCCACGCCATGATACAAGTTTGTCAAGAATGTTCTCTTGTTCTGAGATTGGAGGCATAAAATGGCATAAATGTTTTGTAGAGCAGCAGATGGAGGTTCAAATGACTATCCGCTCATGTGTAAAATTAAGTTAACTCCAGAGATACATAAATATGAATACCAATAGAAGAAGATAAAGATGAGGAAAAAGAAGGAGTTTAAGAAGAAGAAAAAAGGTAAGAAAATGAAAAAGAAGAAGAAAAGAAGAAAAGAAGAAGAATGTGAAGAATCGGTAGAATAAAAAGAAGAAGAGTTAAGAAGAAGAATGTGAAGAATAAGATGAAGAAGAAAAAGAAGGTGAACGGTGAATAATAATAATAATAAGAAGAAGGAGCAGAAGGAGGAGGGGAGGAAAATGGGAAAAAAGGAGATGGAAAGGAGAAAATAAAGTACGATCATTTCAAATGGATCAGGCAACATGGTATGTCTCAAACCTGACAGGGCCCATTCCTCTCCAGGTGGTCATATGAACCTCTTTTTAACTACATTGAAAAGGCAGAAAATGTAATGGTACGGACATGTAATAAGATCTGATGGCCTCTTAAAAACAATACTATAGGGCTCAGTAGAAGGGAAGAGATGAAGAGGCAGACTAAGAAAGACCTGGATGCAGAAGCTGACTCGCTGGACATGCCTTAGGCTTGCAACCATGAAGTCCATCGCATCTGACTGTCAAATGTGGAGGGAGCTGATCAGACAGTCAACAGTAACTGATGATCCAATGACATCCAGGATGAAGAATGATGATAAAGCTCATTTACATGTCTCCCTGTGTGGGTTCCTAGCCCCCTGGTGGGGAAAACATGTCATCAGAGTCGACTAATTGGGGGCTTCCTTTGCAGTCAGAGTGCATTTGACTGAGAGGGAGGGAACCAATAATGTGCATAAAAATAAGTCAGATCTGTAAAACAGATATGTACGCAACACTCAGGTTGTGAAACTAAAGTTCAGAAGTGAATGAATGTTACCAGAACTTTCCGCCAGAGTGAATGTGAAGAAAAAAGGAGCAGATGCACATGTCATTAGGATATGTTGGGAATACAGTAAAGTATCTACTTTGAACATTGCTCAATGAGACTGTTGAATCAACTCATGAAGGTTCCAGCTCTTACATACATCAGGCAACCACAACTCCCACCTAACTCACACGAAGGGAATAATTTGTTTAGAGTAACATAAGATAAGCCAAAGGTGATAGAATGGATTCCATCAACGATACTGCACAGGACAGAATGGAATGGAGAAATCATCTGTGAGGCCTGTGTGACGTAAAATGGCAAAACGGGAAGATGATGACAATGAATAAAAAAATTTTTTATGCACTTGCATCGGTCACTCACTAAATGGCACTGGGCTAAAGGAAGTAAGTCTCACTGTATAGAATAGCCCAGAAAACTACAGAAGAAATCAATCTTGCTAGCATCATCAACAGCGTCAACACTGCTTACCATTCCTGGAAATCCTGGCACTGGCTGCAGCTGGTACATCTTTCAGGTCAGTGTCAGGAAGTCTGTGAGACAAACTGTAGCTCTTTTTTAACATTGGTGAAGCCTTTGATGCCGCTGTGTCTTGGATATGTGACTTGTCAGACAGTTCACTGATTCTGCACATGAGGTTCAGAGAAAGTATTTGTTTATATAGCTGATAGAATTACACTACATGTTAAAATCTGAGATAAATTACGAATAAAACACACTTCCTCAAACAAAATGTAATTCAGATCAAATAAAAGATCAAGGTATGAGTTTAAAAAAATCTAACACCGATATTGTACCAGACAAACAATTAAACAAAACTGAATATTATTTTTTTCAAAAAAAGGGGGAATTTGAAGGATTCTAAATTATCAACTAGAAATTACTATAAATAAAGAATAAAAAGTATTAGAAAGAAAATAAATCAGGTCAAAGAGAAGTACAATTAATGAATCAATCAAAAATTGACATCACTGCACTCAAGACATTCCCACAGGTGCTCTATCCCATTCCTCAGTAACCAACAAAGAGTTGACATGCTTATAGTACCAGCTGCAACCTGATTAAAGATGTATTCTTTACAGACAAATCAGCAGCCGATCGGTAATGCCGTCACCATTGAGCTTACCACAATGCTACCAGCCCTGGAGGGTAGAAGGATACTTCAGGATGCCAAGCATTTGACACAAGAGCAACAAACCTAACATTTCTAGCTAGCATTATCTGTACCTACTGACCTTTGACCTGGCAGTCTGCTATCTCCTGGACTGAATGTTGCAGCTCTCCGTGGAGGTCCTGGAGGTGGTGGTGGCAGAGATTCTCTGGACAGTCTAGACTTTGAGGCTTTACGTGCCGGGGAAATCAGCTGAGTACCTGGCTGGGCAGTCTGCTGCAGCTGTGCTGGTGAAGGGTCTGGGATTTTGGTATCCCTTGTCTGTGAATGTATTGTCACACAGGACTCTATGGCCAGTGGCGAGCTTCTTTTAGGACTTGAAGAATCTGTCTCCACAATTTCTCTTAGACTTACACTCCTTGGTTTATTTCTAGGTGGTAATGGAGGAGGATCTGAGTCTACAAGCTGATTCTTTTCCAAAATATCAGTGTGATCACTGAAAGGTATTCCCTCCTCTCTGACAGGTTGATGAACTGAGACAGGATAGGGTACGTTGCTGGCACAATGAGTAAAAGTACGTTTGGGTTTTGGTGGGCTGACCTTTCTGTCTGGACCAGAAGTTACTTTAGTACTCTCAGCCAAAGTCTGATGATGGGGAAAATCACCAGTAAATCCATCTGCAGCTCTTGCTCCTGACCCAAAGTTTCTCAAGTTGCTACATTCACCAACTTTAAGTCCCAGTCTTGGAGGACCAGAGGAAGAAGACTCACACTGGCTGGGCTTAGGAACACTTCCCACAAGGGATATTACTCTGTTAGGCCCACTGCTGGGCTCACAGTTCTGTTTACAGACATCATCACAGGAATCTATAATGGCTTCTGTTGTATCTTTATGTTCTTCGTCAAATTCTAAACACCCAAGTTTTGTCTTCAGCAGTTCCTCGATCTCTTTGAGCATATCACAAGTGTCTTCTGGTTGATCTCTCAACAGGCTTGGAAAATCATCTGAAGTTTCAGGTTTAGCATTATACTGAGGAAATCCTCTGCCGTCTACTTCCTTTGGTTCTTTACCACTTTGGACACTTACCTCAGCAGTGTTTTGTGACTGCCCGCCTTTGCCAAGTTCACATGAAAGAACTCTGCCTGTGCAATGTGGATGTGTATCTACACCTGTATCACCTCTAAAAACTTCTTTGTACCCTAACTCAGATTTTCTTACAGTGCTGAAATTCAGTTTGGTATTCTGTGGTACAGATATATTGTCCAGCTTATTGCGATCAGGTTTGCTACTGTTGACAGTTCTGAACTTACTAGAGGTGATGTCGGGCTCAAGTGATGACCACAAAGCTGAAGCAGATCTTAGCTTAGGCTTTGGAAGTGTTTTAGAATGTTGGTCTCTGAACTGACTATCTGTAATACTGGTTGTTACAGGTACTGGCCTTGTATTAGTGCCAACAGCTTGTGTAGATGTGTTGCTTCTATTGCTTCCAGAAGCTAGTGTGTGCTGATGTCGCTGCAGAAGCTTCTGAACCTTATCTCTGGTGCTCTGTTGACTGTCAGCTCTGAAAGAATGTCTCAGATCATAATCAGCTGTCTTCCCTTTGCTGTCCCCTGTATTACCACAGGAGAGTGACACACTCTGGGAGTCTTGATGACTAGCTGCTGAAGCTGGGGTTGTCTCCACTTCTTGTGACAACCTTGCGCTTAAACTTCTGGACTTCTTCAAGACTCCAGCACGGGGAGGGTTCTTGGGAATTGGTGGAGGAACGGCCGCTTTCTTCCCAGTCTCAGATCTCATATCTGGTAAATATAAGTGTGCAATAATTTATGCATGTTTAAACAGATGGACTAGGACATTGCGAGAATATAACAACATCCATTTATTATTCCTGGATATTTACTGTTGTTCAGGGCTGTAGTGGTGTAAAGGCTAAATGCTCATCTGCTGATTGGAAAGACATGGGTTCGGATCATGGCGGTGCCAGACTTTTTTGTTTCTAAAATGATCTTGGCTTCCAGGTAAACCCAGCCTTATTTGGGTACCAGATACTATCCTGGGAAGCAAAGGCAATCAGCATGATGCTGACCACAATACACACTGAGTGCTGACTGGTCTATTAATTATAGGTCTAGCCCTATATCCCCAATACACCTGAAGGCGTAGAAAAGAATTCTTTACTTTGCTAGATATTTATTGTTACTTAAGTAAAGGCGGCTGGGTTGATGTTAACCACACCACCCAGTGAGTGTTGAATGGTCTACAAAATAAAATAAAAAAATTCTGGCACTAAATGACTGATGTGACAGAGGTGTGAAAAGGGTTAATTTCTTTGTTATCTATTGTCACAAAACTCCAAGTGAAGCTGACTGGTTACTTCCAGCAGTGTGATGTGCTGGCTCAAGTATGCATTCATCATCATCATTATCACCAACCTGGTGTACCATTATACAGCACATAGGGCTCACAGTCTGTTCCTCTATTCCTTTCTATCCTGTGCAATCTTCTTGACTTCAGGCATGGAATCTAGTTCAGCACATTTGGCCTCTCTCAACAATGTTCATCACAGGGTCTGTCTTTGAGTCCTAGTTTCTGAAACCCATTTCTTTCACAATATGTTGCCTGTTTGGAGATTCTGTGTCCATTTCTTCTCATGATATGCCCAAGCTTATAATGTGTCTCATAATGTATGATACAAGTGGCTGTCTAGACATTTCTCTTATTTCTCCACCCGTCTTTCATTAATTTCCCTACCTAACTGTTTTTGAATACATTTAACGTTTGTTTATATATCTCATTGTGTTTCTTCTTCTTCTTCTTCTGCCTTTCTATCCCCCAATGGAGCATAGGCCCTCAACCAACTCACGCCAAGTCGTTCTATCCTTCGCCATTACCTGGAGCTCTCCCCATGTCCTCCCAATCTTTCTAACCTCATTCTCCAGCTCTCTTCTCCATGTGTTTTTTGTCCTTCCTTTATTCCTATGCCCCTGTGGGTTCCAATGCAAAGACATTCTAGTTATGCTGTTCTCCTGTTTTCTCAGTGTGTGCCCTATCCAACGCCAGCGTCTTTTCCTCACCTCCTGATCCACTGAAGCCTGTTTAGTTCTCTCCCAAAGTTCTACATTAGTTATTCTATCATACCATTTTATTCCCTCTATTCTGCGCAGGCACCAGTTAATGAATGTCTGTAATTCATTAGTAATTGCCTTCGTCGTTCTCCATGTTTCCGCCCCATACAATAGTACTGATTTGACATTGTGTTTACTGTAGCAATAATAAATCCATTGCCGGCTTGCTAGGCCTGTCACAACTTCACCAGAGCCCCGTTGGCCAGAACGTTTCGGGGTGACCCAGGGTGGCCTTCATGGCTACCGTAGCGGTCCCGTGGCACGAGGCCACACCATACTTCGCCCACACCTAGCAATCCCCTACTTTGTTCTGTTACCACCTCTCACGACGAGGACGTGTGACACCATACCATACAAAACATACATGGAAAGAGAAGAAGGTCAGAGAGCAAGAGGTAGACCAAGAACAAGATGGAAGGATAACATAAGAGAAGCTCTACAACAGCACGATGTGCCTATGGTCGAGGCGGCCAGAAAAGCCAGAAACAGAACCTTATATCTCCCTCGACACCCACAGCGGTAAAAGAGGAAGTGAAGAAGAAGAACGTTTGTTCCGTCTCATAAATGGTTCTCTAACTGTCAGTGACATAAGTTAAAAACTGAAACAGCACAGGAATTAACAATGCATAACATGGCAAGTATGCTTCATGGGTAAATTAATCAAACAATGTTTGTAATTAAACAAACTTCTCAGGGAAGTATCTCGGATGTAATATAAAACAGACATAAATATCTTTTGGAGCGTGTTTTGGGGAAAAATAAGCATAATGTAGTGACAATCGGTAAACGTTATTAGAAAGAAAAAATATTGGAAAAAAGTCTGCATGGCCTGGCTAGATTGTATAATTGTGACAACAAGACAGATATGATCAAAGACTGATGAATGAGGAGGTGGTGAATTGCCTCTGCTCACTGATATGGGACATGATGAATGATGATGGTGTCTTTATTGCAGATGACAACCTCCTCATACTACTTTCAAGGATTCTCAGGGTCTTGTAACCCAAAAAAAGGGAGACAGTAGCCTGTGTGGCAAACTAGACATGAAGGGGATATGACACTGTTAATATCACGCAGAAGTTGCATTTAACCGGGAGTTTGTAAATTAATACCCTTTTAACTACATGACAAATCTTTCAACTACATGAAAAATGGTCATGAATCCCAAGGACATTTCTAGAAAAAAAAATCATTTAAAGAAAAAAAAAAACATTAAACAGCTCACTTAAAAAAGTTAAAAAAAAATCTTTTTAAATTTTTAATTTATGTACATTTGACATTTTAGTTGCTGAAACAAACATAACAGCATAATCAATAAACACAGAGTTAAGCAATAAGTGGAATACAGAATATTTCCCAGGGCTGAAAAAAAAACAAAAACAATTTGTATTAGGCAAATCAATGCTGTGACCCCATGACCTCTATGGGTAACTCATACTATGACCCCATGACTTTTATAACAGAGGCTTACTGACAATTCTGATACCAACTTGGCTTTAAAAAAGGGACTGTGGTCATAAAGAAACACCCCTGCTATTTTTAGTTACTATATTGGTACATGTTGCAATAAGAGACCCAACAATGAGAGTGACCTCCCTTTCCACTGATGCCTCAATCTGGTGTAGTGCCTGTACTATGTCGCAGAGATTTCAGGAGTACTGAGTCGTATTTTACTCCTTGTTGTCAGCAGCCGGCGATTTGACATTTTCCATGCTTTGAGCGCTTTTACATGGTCGCAAAACATGTACAACTGGGCCTAACCCTCCGCCCCCCCACTCCAAAGCCTCAGCCCAGCCTATGTCCCATGACTGTATGCAGCCTTCATTATATGCTGCATACAGTCGTGCGACCTAGGATGCACCCCTGCGACATAGTAGAGGCCCTACACCTGATAGAGGCATCAATGGGAAGGAGGGGGGGGGGGGTCACTGTCATTGGTGGGTCTCTTAATGTGACTAGAACCACTATATTTATATCGTGACTTTTAAAAAACTATAAAGGTGGAAACAGAACCAATGAAATTTAACTACTCTTTTTTTGAGAACAGGTCATTGCAGACACAGTGATATATCAGCATTTGTGGTATAATGTCGCAGCTGGACGTTACTGGATTTCGGGGTAACAGGCTTAACGCTGAAAAAAAACAGGTGTGTGTCTGAAGCAAACATTCTATTACCTGTGATGACAGCAACTTCTACAGACTGCTTGTGGCTGCCTTCTGGTGATCTGCTGGCAGTGACTGTCCTTTTTGCAGGTGAGGATGATGGTGATAAAGCATCGGAGAATGCCTCCAAAGGGGAAGGTTCAGATGTTAGGGAAACAGGTTTCAGAGATGCTGGAGAAGGTTTAGGACGCACAGGCGGTGATATATTAGAACTGTTGCTCTTGTGAGATTCAGGCTTGGGGGAAGTATGCCTTTCTTGTATGCCTTGTGGTGTGGGCTTCACATGAGGATGGGTAGTTAGATGATTAGGATCAGATTTGGCATGTTTCTCTGAGAAAGTGTGAAATTTATGCAGTGTGTGGTGTTGTGGTCGATGTGCTAGTGTATGTGGTGGGGACACATTTCTTTGAAAAGATTTATTTGACCTGGATAATACGGGTGGTGAGACTGATACAGAAGTTACAGAATTTGTTGTAGAAGATGTGGGTAGTTTAGCCTGATTATGTTTGTTCCTGAAAGTGGCTGGTAATGTGAATGAACCTGAGTGTGCAGGCCCTTTTCTCTGAACTGGAGGAGGTAGCAATGGAAGAGGTGGTGGTTTGAGTAACTTGACTGATGTAGTTTCTAAAGTGGGTGACCCTTCTTTAGGTGGACTGCATTTAACTACAACTGGATGTCCTGGAGTACAAGAACTAGCATCTGTAGCTTTAGGTAAACACTTCTGGGGTTTATAAGTGTTATTGTTAATGGAAGATGCTTTTGTTGTAGATGGTGGTGACAATATGAAGAGGGAAGCAGATGGTTTTGGAGGCAGGAGAGGGGGTTTGAATCTAGGCTTGGCTGCCACAGGGGGTTTCTCAGGCAGCTGTGGTCTAGTTAATGCCATACTGTTCCTGGAATTTCAACACAATAAACAATGTTATGTATGACAATCAATGAGACTATGGGAAGCATTAGGAATATTTGGAAGAGGGAAAAATAGGTAATTAAAAGTTACAAAAGTAAGGGTGACTGCAATCAAGTTAATACCAAGAAATTAATCCAGTGAACTGCAATTAAGAAGCTTAACGAATGGGGGGAAGGGTAACGACATATATACACAAGAAAAATGACGTTTCGGCAGCAGCCTTTCTCAATAAAAACCAGATCAACAAAAACAAGGGGCACAGTATCTTGGCCACCAGTTTCACAGATCAATGAATTCATTTCTTGTTTAAAGGTTAGTTGAGGAAATTTAAAAAAAAGAAAAATTTTTTTTTTCACAAAAGTATATCAATACAAGTTTTCTCAAGCATAATGTACAATACAATACATTTTCTGTTTATCAAATGTAAATTGCAGTGATGGTACAGTAGTTAATATGCCTGCCTGCCAGCTTATCTGTCCTAGCATCAAATCTTTTTCCAGACATATATCAAGGCTTCAGTCTCAATAATGGGTACCAGAAAACTGTCTGGAAGAAAGTGTATGATACCGGTACATCGCTGACCCTGAAATTATCTGGTGCCCATTTTCATGAAAACTTTAACAACCAATTTAGGTTTCTACGTTTATATAATTATGTTGCCTTCTTTTTCTTGTTCTTTTTACGTGGTAAAAAAAAAAAAAAAAAAGAATTGTATTTTAATCCCTAAACTGAAATTCTTAATATTGCATTTCAGGACCCCTTAAAAAAAAAAAAAAATGGCATTCAGGCTTTTGCTCTATATTTTCACCTTCACTGAAATTTCATAGACAAGAAATTCACCACAAAAATTACTCTCTGCTATAATTAGCTTTGACAATGCAATTCCCCAACAATGCCTTTTTTTTTGTCTGTCCACTCCCAATGGAGCATATGCTGTCAATAATGCATAACTGCCCCTAATATGCTCTGTCTGTTTTCATGACTGTCTATATGCATGTATTTATGGGTATGTATTCTATGCACATATTTATGCAGGCTTATAGATATGGGTGTCTATGTACATACATATATATGTGTGTATGCATGTAAGTATGAACTAACGGGTATCTGTATGTTTTTATTTGTGTATTTATGTACGTATATATACTATATTATAAAACTAACACTGGATGGTAGGAAAGAAGTGCCACCATACATCAGTGGCACATGTATATCGATATGTAGGGAGCTGGTAATCAATACTCCAAGTTCAAGGTGTTTCCTATGTGCCAATGAACAGCATGGCTGTTGGGGGGCACAGACATTAATGAAGGCAGACAGGTTGTACAGGGGCGTCATCTGGCTGATGGACGTTACATCCTTGGTCCCTTCACCAGCACAAGGCACTACTGGGGTGACCATTAATAAACCCTCACTAATGTATTAATTAAACATGGTAGAAAATTTTCATAAACTCGATCCTCACCGGAGCTATAGAGTTAGTGTGTCTGTGCTGAGATCTGATGCAGCAGCATCCACAAGGTACAGAAGGAGAAGAGGACTGTAGAGTAAAAGGAGTTGCAACAGACGTGCTGGTACACACAAAAATCAATCCAAGTACGAAAGCCAGGGCAAGAATCACCTTGTACATTATGCTGGAACTACTGAAGCGCAAGACAGAGTTCACATTTTTTATAAATGAATACATGACGCTGATGTGATTATGCTTCAGGAGACCTGGTTAAACGCGAAGAAAGTTCTGAAAGTTACAGGCTTCCAAAGTTATTATAACAGCAGACACCTGGTACAGGCAATCATAGTCAGGTGTGGGATCAAATCATCAGCTGTAGACAAGAGTGCTTTGAGCAACAACGACATTCAGGTGCAGGCAGAGAAGGCACACGGAGGTAAACCCTTCACTTTAGTCAACATCTATGCCTGCCATAATCAGGTAGACCAAGAGAAGTGGAGAGTCCTAACTGACATTTGCGATCAGTTGAACAACAACACCATCACGTTTGGTGACTTTAATGCAAGGGATGGGCTATGGGGCAACACCACAGCCAACAAACAGGGTGAGGCATTGGAGGAGGCACTACTGACAGACATAGAGCTGATTTGCTTGAATTATGGCTGACCCACCAGAATCCTGGAAAAAGAAGACACAGACAGCACCCTCGATCTCACTCTGGTCTTCCCCAGCATAAGTGCACTCCGCCAGTGAGGTGTACTGGAACATAATGGAACCACTTTCCATGCTCAATTTTGGTCAAGAAAGCACTTCAAGGTCCTAGAAACCAGATGCCATTTTTAAGTACAGGGTACACCAGACTGATGTTAAAAGGTGCCCATGAGACAGGGTACACAGAACATCGGGGAAGAAGAAAGATGTGTATCAACAACTCTCATGGTTGACACCTGAAGTCACCAAGATATGGTTAGAGAAATGAAGTGTCATAAAAGAATGGGAGAAATACAGAAAGTCTTCTAGGCTGTCTGATGCTCACATGCAAGCCATGAAAGAAAGAAAAGATTACCTCACTGAACATTTTAAACAAACTGTGAGGGAGGCTAAGCACACCACATGAGAGACATTTTGCAATGAAATAGGGCACGAAAAATCCCTTATAAAATTCTGGTGACTCCACTGCAGTAAGAATGCCGCAAACAATCCTGTAATTTGCCCGAATTAAAGTTGGAAAGTGGGGTGATCTTAAGATTTTACAAAGACAAAGGTGAGGCACTCCTGCACAGATTTCTACTGCAAACCAAAAAGACAGACAAGAGAAGCAGATGAAACCAAGGCCATGACATGCACATCACTGAAATGGATGGAGAAGATGACACAGTATACATCTCTGTTGCAAACATCAGAGCTATACTGAAGACTTGTTGTCCTGACACAACCTCAGTGCAAAGGATACAGTCTCTTAAAATGCCTTTAGGAAACAGACGCAATGGAACTATCCACCGCATTTAACAAGAGCATCCAAAGCAGACTGGCTCCAGAGCTACCTCAAACCCGTTCCTGAGCCTCGGAAAGATCACAAAAAAGTAAATGGCTATAGAATCATCACAATTCGGAACACCACAGAAAAACCCATTGAAAAAATCGTGGCCAAAAATTTGACCCGAAAATTAGAGTCAAGTGGTCTTTTGGCACCTAAACTAGGTGGGTACCGTCCAGGCACAGATAACTGGTGCAAAGCTGCAGTATTTGCTTACGACATGTTTGAGGGCTTCTGGGAAAGAATGGAAACTGCTGCAACTGCCATTGACTCAGAAGGCGCATACAAAAGCGTACCATGTGACATGCACATCAGAATGATGATGGATATGCATATAGAGACAAAATAGGTCAACTGGATCACAGCAGCGCTCTTCAAAAGAACAGTATCGATGAGATGCCGTAGGTGGGCATCAAAACAGCAATGTGTCTCCCGTTCTTTCTAATGTGTACACATCATTAGTCACCAGTGCACAGATAGTAGGTCTGGACAGAACAATTTTGTTCGCAGATGATATCCTTGTGTACCAACGAGGAAACAACCAGGACGAAATTACAAAAACATTACAGCATTTATCAGACTGACTCAGTAAGTGTTGCCTGGAATCAAGCAAACAGGTAAACCCGGCAAAAGCTTCCTTAACATGGTTCTCCTTGAATACCCACAATGTCAGTAAACCTACGCCAGTCATGAGCATGTGTGGTATAGACATCAATAGAATGGACACAATGGACCTGGGCATAACTTTCAACAGATGCTTGTCATACAAGAATCAGATAGAAAATGTCACAGTGAGAGCCAAGAAAGATTTAATGGCGCTGAAGGCAATGGCATATGCCGACAGTGAACAATACCTACTTTTCCTGCTATATCACTGACTTGTACTAAGTGTTATGGACTACGGTCTAAACCTCCTCACTGTCAGCAGAACCCAGTTCGAAAGACTGGACCGTGTACAAAATGAGGCCATCAGACTCATACTCGGCTGCCCAAAAGACACCTCTTGTTGCGCCATGCAGCATGTCCTGGGTTTACCGATGATGGCCACCAGACAAAAAGTGGCACAAGTGAAAGCCTGCGTAAGGATATCAGCAGACATCAATCACCCACTGAGGTATGCATCTCAAAAGAAGCTCCTCCTGGTTGACAGAGGCAGAAAATCTAATCCAGCAAGTATGTGACCTAGACCAGATTAGTCAAGGAAAATAATGGATGGATACACCAGAAGACATGTATGACATAAGTTTGTCATAACACTGGTGAGGTACTGAAAAAGTCAGATACCTGCCACTGTAAACAGTGAGATTAGGGCTCTGTCTGATTAGCATTCATGTCCAGAAGACGTAATTTTCATAAAAGGGTCTACGAAGCGCGGGTCAAGATCAACATGGGTATACACAGCATAAGGGACGGGGAAAACAATAAAAGAGGATAGCGGCACTTACCAGACAACTATGTAAAGCATGACCATAGAAATAACTGCTGTTTATAGAGCCCTCGCGAGGGTAGCAGAACAAGCGGTAATCGTTTCATGAACATGCTTCAAAAAATTACAGGTAGTCTAAGCTCTGAATGGGTAAAAAGCATTAGGAAGTTGCAGTTAATCTCCATCTTTTGGATTTACACACCTGGGCAAGCAGGAGTAAATGGTAATAAAAGAGCTGACAAGCTGGCAAGCAATGCACCAATGCTAATGGGAAGAAGCATGGACAGAGCTGTCGCATAACATCCCACACCCCTCTCGTCTTGGATCTACCCACATCTTGTGACCTTTATGTTAATGAGGTACTTTCAAATCTTGGACTTTCCTCCATAGGTAAATAGTCCTCTTTTACTTTTGTATCACGATGTCAGGTTAAGTACTCAATTCTATCCTATTTCTCTTGGGAATGACATATATTTAAATTTAGCCATATAGGTGGAAGATTTACTTATAGTGAAGCCAAATTCCATTGGCCAAGCTACCGCTTTGGATGCGGATGAATCCCCTCCTGCCTCTAGCTGGAGAGACGCTTAGTTTGAACTCATTCTTGACTGAGCTTCCAGAGTGAACAGATGGCTTGCTGTCTTTTCTGTCTATCTGCTCACCTGCATTTGAATCACCAATTCACCCGGGAACATCCATGAGCATGGGATGTTAGTAATTTCTGGAGGCCAAGTCAATGATCAGTATCCTAGCACTATCCAGTGTAATCCACATCCAGCTTACATGATGAGGGGTCCTCAGCAAACAACTCATTCCTGTCCATGCACCATGTCAGTGGCTACATAGTCGACAACTGTCTGTTGTTCTGTGATAGTCACCATCAGCTTGTATCTTCAACCCAGAAGACTTTTATGTAAGGGGTTGCAAAAAACTGCCGCGACCAGAGAGTGGCATAAATCATAGCATTAAACTTAAATTAACATGGACCCCTCTTCCGTGAGATACCATTGAAAATTTGACATTATCTGTGTGATATTTGTATAGACATTCATATCTTGGTTAATTTTCATGAATGCTGAGCCATGATCTTCAAGAGGGAATTCACAAGACTTCATACCTGCACTGCCAGATGTGGGAGGAGGCCTCAATTCAAATGAACAGGACCTCCTGGACAGATAAGTAGTGTACCTGGGGTTAATCCTAACAATGAGTGCCAGTTACCTAGGTCCAAAATTCCACTTTGGCAGTGAGGATAACTGCTTTTACTAGGGACTAACCAGGAGTCCATCTGGAGTAGACTATTCTTTGCTTCCTTAGCTGGTTTGATTGGTCTTGCTGAATTTCTTTCTTTATATTCCTACATGTGTTGCACTGATTACACGATGTTTTGTTATTTCACATTCTGTGTTTAGTGTCCATCCTTCACAGTTCTTAAGTTGTCTGGAGTATCTGTAATATTGTTGTACTTCATGTTATACTTTGTTAATCTGACTAGCATAGGATTACTATCTAGTCTAAGGGCTTACAAGTAGTGGGGAAGTCAGTCCAAGTTGCGCCTAGGAATATTTATTGATTCTGTAGTGCCATAATTTGAGTCGCCCCATCTCTGTGTAGGCTGGATGTTCATTGGAGCTTATGGATTCCGCCTAGACCACTGCGAGCCAACATCTCAACACAAAAACTACTTCAGAGTGACTTTTAGATCAATAGGAAAACCCTAACCAAAACACATGACACCAGCACTATGTGATAAGAGCTGATCTCACCAACGCCGTATGGACTAGGTTGGGGGATAATATTGAATCTCTGACACTAACACTACTGTGTGACCAAGGAGTTAAGCTTGGTGAAGCACCTCTATGTTTTCTTTGTTGTAAAGACAGAGAAACTATAACCAACTGCTCATAAGAGTCCTCATCTGAGGACTGAGCCTGCATTGGGATGCCCAATGAGCAGACGTCGATTGTGATAGCATAACAAAATATAGGCTCTCCTTTAAATAACGATCGCTAGCTGGAAAGCCAACAGTCGCTTAGTGGGAGTTCACTCCCTTGGTTGCAGTGCAAATACGGACCGTAAAGAGGGAACGAAACAAATGACATACTTACCTATCATCATACGGTTGCGTAGGGTGTAGGGTTAGGGTTTGGGGTAGGGTGTGGGGTAGGGTTAGGCGTAGGGTTAGGGTTAGGGGTAGGGTTAGAGTTTGGGTTAGGGTAGGGTTAGATGTGATTTCTCCTAAATATGATGGCAACAGCGCGCGGCTGGTGCCCAATTGATGGCGAATTGTCCGTTTGAGTAGCATCCACAGTCCATCAGTTGTTTGGGTGTGTATGTCACTGTGCGCGATTATTTGGAACTCCTGCATCAAAATTGTCACATCTAACCCTAACCCTACCCCTAACCACGCCTATTTATCGGTTATTAAGGCATACAGATCTGCAGGAGTCACATCTGCTCCGTATTTGAAATGCAGCCAAGGGAGTGAACTCCCACTAAGCGACCGTCGGCTTTCCAGCTAGCAATCGTTATTTAAAGGAGAGCCAAAATATATATGCACACAAACACACACACATATATTCAATTATAAGCATAGACCTTCATGAAGTGGAAAAATTATTAAAGTGACTAGTGTATCAATACGACTATGGTCATGGATAAACACAAAAGGAACTGCTCATTAACAC